AACTTTCAGCTTAGGGGTTATTACGAGAAAATCATTGAAACCATATGCTCCCGTACATTCATTTTCTTCTTTTATTTGCCTGATGAAAGAAGGTGGCATTTCCAACAAACCCAGAAAAGGTTGTTTATGGTCTTAGATCCATCCTTTTATACCCTTGACATTTTTATCCAGATGCAACTTTTTGAAATGTAGACATGGAACAGAACCTTCTCTGGCAGTTGTTAGGATTTACTCTTTTTACACAGATGCTGTTTAAAGTGTGTGTTCACATCATGCTATGCGTGATAATTCTATAAGCTGACTACTTTTCCAGAGTCAGATGCTACTCAAGAATGATAACAATGACACTTTAAATGCTTTTGCTCCAAATTAGCCCTCAAGTGCAGGAAAGCCTTTGGTCAAAATAGTGACACCTCTGCAGATGTGACTGCCTTCCAGGTGGATTCTGTTAAGAGGAAGAAAAGCTGATGGAGACGGGTAGTACTGATGCAATTTTGCAGATGTACAAAGAAAGGTGCTGAGTCCTCTGCTCCTATGAATACAGGAGGAATCCAACATGACCCAGGTTCTTGGCTGAGAAGACCAAGCCTTGCTTACTTGCTCTTTCTCAGCCATACGTCAGCTTGTCAAGGCTCTTCTGTTCAATTTCCTGGTTGCCTTTTTTAAGTCCAGAGGTTTCGTGCACTCTCTATTTTGTTAGCAGCACCCAACAAAACCTCTGTCTCCATATTACTTCATTCCAGAGTGGTTTTATTCGTGACTCTTCTTATGCAAAGCCATAGTAGGGACTATAGCACGTGCCTTAGGGTTTGGAAGAGTTGAAGGCGAGGCTGGGCAGCCTGGTCTGATGTGGGACAGCCAGGCCATGGCAGGGTTGGGGCAGGGGGGGCTGTGAGGTCTCTCCCAACTCAACCACACCGTGATTCTATGGCTCAATCACCCTCTGGTCGCTCAGGAGCTCTCAGACAGGCTCTGCACAGGAGCTGGAGACAAGCAAGTGAGTGAAGCCTCGCCTTGCCCCCTCTTCTAACCCAGAACGGTGTGGTTAAACCTACACGTGCCTTTCCAGAGTACACCACCGTATCACCAGCTTCCCACGGGGAATAAATCCCCACTCCAACAGGTCCCCACCGCCGCAGCGCTGCGCATGCGCACCACGGCCCGCCGCCTCCTCGCCACGGCCGCGGCTCTGGCGCCCCCTGGCGGCGCAGCATGGCGGCGGGAGCCGGCGGGGAGGGGGGGGTGTAAGGAGCTGGGTGGGTGGTTGTACTCAAAGAATTGCTGCGGGGAGGGCGACATGTGGTGTTCCGAAGGGTTCAGGAGGGGGATCGGGGTTATTTAATATCCGTGTCAGCGACTGGGACGCGGGGTCGAGCTAAGCAGGCTGTCTGCAGGAGAAAGTTGGACGTTTGGAGGGGATTTCTCAGCCCTCGCTTTTTGAGGTTGGAGGGAGGAATAATTAGTTGTATTTCCTGGCTCACAAGTGATTTGGGATTTGATATTGGGAAAGGTTCAGATAACAGTCCAGTCTAGGAAGGAAACAACACCGGTGGGGTGGCAGTCACCTTCCTCCCCATTGCTCTGCCCTGCAGAGATGGCTGGCAGCACCCCAAAGAGCACGGGGTGGGAAGAAATGCTTCGCATCACTGAGATCCCATGTGCCAGAGTAAGGGCCTGTTTTAGGAACAGCACCTTTCCTGCAGGAAAACTTTCACCAAGGCGCCTTCAAGACCTCAGCCTTTGGCTTATTGTTCTGCTGAGTCTGTCAGTTACCACCAAGTTAAACTTTGGACAATAACTTTCACCTCCTTTTGTCTGCTGCCTGTGTCTCTGCCCAAAACTGTCCCAAACCACTTGTCTAATCTAAAACCACTGTTTAAAATTCTGCCAAAAGTTTCAGACCTCTGACTTTGTCTGAATTCTCATATGGCTGTAGTCCAGCGTAATATTCCCTTCGCTGCTTAGATAGATTGAGAGTGATTCTGCTCTTTACTCCAGTTGGCAACAATGCTGAGTCATTTCTGGAGTCTAAGGTAGGCTTTTCTTCAAGCCAATTATGGCACATTTCACTGCCTTGTGAATAATTTAACCATGCTTTGGAAGTTTTTTTTGTTTTTTTTCCCAAAACAGTGGTGAAATATGTGTTGTAAAAGCAAGCCCTCAAGACATTTTGGCTGTTTCCTCTCTGTACAAGCAGACCAAATCACCTGTCCTTATTGTCTTGCCTCTGATATGTGACACAGATCTCTGTCCTCAGCCTCAGGCTCTGATTCAGTTCTGCAGGCTTCCCCTGTCTGATGCTTTCACAGAGAGGTCTTCTGTGCTACTTTGCCAGAAAGCCTTCATTTTCCATATGACTATTTTCTCCCCTGAATCTACTTCATCCATTCTCCAGGCTTCTCCTGAGGGCACCAACCTGTTTGCTCCAGATTTCCCTCTTTGATGCTATTGTGCATCAGAGTATCTGAAATCCAAAGAACCCCTCATGTTCCACTCTTTGGGGTGGAAATAGGAATACAGTCCTATCTTGTAGACAGCTTACATGAAAGGCAGTAGTTAAACCTGTGTCAGTGAGCTTAAGCCTAGTGGTTAACAATATTCACTCTATGGTTGTCTTTAGTCTAGGCATTTTAAAATGAAGTTATTTACTGATAGCAGAATTTAGTGTTAGGCACAAACTCTGAAAAAATGGACTCATCCAAAATGTAAATCTACTTTAAAATTCAGTTTTCATATAAGCCTTAAACTGTGCTTAGATTTATAGCAACGCTTAGAGGGGTGAACTTAATTCTGTAGAGAAAGTGATCTTTAACTATCACCCAACCATGTCCAGAACAAAATTGTTCCTTTTGCTCCACCAGAAAGCATGCAAACACTGCTAAGATTGAAATAGCCATGTGCAATCCAATGATCTTTATTTCTGTACTAGATAATAATTTGGCGCTGTATAAAAGCATGGCTTTAACATCACAGGGAGCTTTAACAGTCAGGATTTAATATGAGAAATTCACAAGGTTTTTTTTGAGTGTGTAGGGACAATGTTCACAGCCTCCAAAAGTGTATTTCACGTGACTGTGATTTGCACTGTGCCATCCTCAGGGTCACATATGAAGTTTAGTCATCCCAGACTGACTGCCTATCACTTTTGGACTATAACTGCAATGATGTAACACTTCCAGTACACTCTGTTTCTGAGTTTTAAGCACCTGAATTTAGATAGTGAAGTTAAAATTGCATTTGACACGCTGCATCACACACCTTGTTCTTAAAATTTCATGATTGCTTCTTATCAACAAAATTAGAAAGAGGAAAATATTTTTATCTGGGTGTTTCCACAATCTTTTGAACTCAGAGTGTGCTTTTCTCATCAAAACTCATGCAGACCTTTTTTTTTTTTTTTTTTTTTCCCTCCAGTATTAGATCAAAGACACTAGTTCCAGCCGTTCTTGGACAACTGTTGATGCTGATAACAAATAATTACAACTGACGTAGACGTGATTTTCTTTCAGCAAAGGAGGAGAAAAAAAATCAGTGTAACGTTATCTCCCAGGTATGCCTTTGATGTTGCAGTGTCTGCAGCCAGGAGCTTCAAAGACAGCATCTCTCTTCTGTATGTACTCAACTATGTCATATATTACTCATTAGGCAGTCCAAACAGAGGAAACCTTTGGGTTACAATTGCTCATCAAGTATTATTGACAAAGAAAAAAGTGAACTTTATTCTGGGATGTATTAATTGGGAATAATTATCCCGCTCTATTTCATACTGCCAAGGAGCCAGACACAAGTATTATGTCCAGGACTGGGAGTAAGAAATATGTACATAAGTAAGTAAGTGCAGAAGATAAAAATGAAAATGAGGAGGGAGACAAAAAAGACCTCAGAAAAAGGGCTGGAGGGGCTGGATGTGTAGCTTTCAGAAAAGAGGACTGTTGGGACAAGAAAGGAAAGGGCACAGCAGAATTCCTAAGGACTATGGGCTGTCACATGGAGAACAGTGACCCTCAGTGTCCTTGGGGGACACTGCAACAGGCATCCCATTAACTGGCAGCAGCCAGGATGAGACTTGTCAGGCATATGATTCGAGTTAATATAAGATATAGCTACCCTGTCTTGGAATAAATGTAAAACCCACACTATCCCTGACACATGATGAGAAGTGACAATGACACAAATGCTGCGAATTCCAAGAAAGGTGGTAGCAGGAAAGAAAAGTCATCTTTTCAAGTTGGCTTTTAGAAATTTCTTAAAAAAAAAAAAATTATGTTTTTTAGTTATGCTGGGAAAAGCTAAAACTGATACCTGTTCTGGTAGCATCTCCAGATGGATGGCTTTGCTGTGTGTTATCATTTCCAAATGATGCAAGCAGAAAGGTGGATGAAAGGAAGGCTGAAGATATGTGATGGCCACCTGTCTTTTCCTGTAGCTGATGAAGAAGTTAAATGATGCAGCGTGCGTGATCTCCAGCTAATGTAAAAAGGAATGGTACAAGTTTACACGGTGTAATGGGAAGTTATGGGATGAGAGAAAGTGAATGGTCTAGAAACACTGACATGTAAAACACCCTGTAATAACGTTTGTGCTGATGGCTCTGTCTGTTTTAACACCAAATCTGGCATGAAATCAACGACCTTTTAATTTCAGAGCTGGTTGGGAAACAGAACACCGAGGCGTCCTTTGAGGTGTCGTGTGTGGACAGCAAATCCTTCCATTAGCTATCAGAGGGGAAATGGAATGGGGTAGAAGCCAGGGGCTGGGGGGCACCTGTTACTTGAGGTGAAGCTGTGAGCTGGGACTGCTAAACCCAGAAGGCTGAGGGCGACCTTAGTGTGTGTAAACGACACGCACTGGCAGGGGGTCGGTGAGACAGGGGGTCGGTGAGACAGGGCCGCCCTTCCCGCGGGGCGCAGCAGGCAGGCCGTACCGGATGCTCTCCAGAGGCGCCGGGCGGCCTCACAACCCCGCGCGCCACCCGACGGCGCATGCGCAGCTCCCGGCAGGCACCGCGGCGGGGCGCGCATGCGCGTTGCGGGGGAGGGGAGCGCTGATGCAAGAGGCGAGCGCGGCGGTCGCGGGCAACGGCCGGCAGCGTCCCTGAGCCCCGCCGCTCCTCATCCGATCACCCGTTCCGTGCCCGGCCGCAGCCATGTCGGGCGACGAGGTGAGGCTCGACGCCGTCGGGGAAGGAGCCGAGCCCGAGGGTTGCGCCGTTTCGCGGCCGGGGCCGCCGCCATGTGGGAGCGTGGGCCCGAGGCCTGCGGCGGCCACGGCGCGGCCTCCACCCAGGGGCTGGGCCGGGGTTGGGCGGCGGGACCTCGGCCTCTCGCGGGGTCCTCGGGGCCTTTCTCGGGGTCCTCAGCCCCCTCTCCTCGCGGTGCGGCCCCGCAGCTCCCCGAGCCGTGCTCGTATCCCCCACAGCGGGGCCGGGGGAGAAGGAGATGTGCCGGCACCGCGTCCCCAGGGCGCCTCGTGCTCCTTTGGCGGTAGCGCTTCGCTTCAGTATTTACCTCTTTTTGGAGCTCTAATATCTCGTCTTTCATCCCTGACAGCTCAATGGTTGTGTCTTAGCAAGTGATACTAGACGGTTGTCCAAATGCAGTGGGTTTTGCTTTCAGGGGAGCGGGTGCAGCTGTCTCCGAGAAGTCTTTCAAATGTTGTAGCTGGAGCCATTGGTAACCTCGTTTCAGTCTCTCTCATGGGAAAAGGAAAGCTTTCCACGTATGAAGCCTTGAGCACCCTGATGGAAGATGTGGCCAGTGGGAAACTGCACTGACAGAATCCACGAGACAGCTGCTTTTGGTCGTTTTTCTTTGGTGTTGGTTCAGATATGTCTATGGCTCATTTCTGAGCAAGGTATGCTCACTCTAACCTTGGAGATGGGCAACTCACGACTTCTCTGACATAATAAACAGCAAGCAGTGTAATTACAAGTTACTTTAATGGTAGCTGAGACTGGTTATTCAGCTGCTGTGAATGAATATCCGGCATTTTTATGTCTAATTGTGTGCTGATGTGAAGACAGTGCTCTGATTCCAGAAATTAAGACCATTACATCAGCTGCTTTCTGTCTCAAGTGCATTTGTTCTGACATTAAGGTGAGATCAGTGTAGTTAAGTTGCATTTCTGGTTTGCTTCATCTGACAGAATGAAAGTGGTAGTAGCCAGCTGAGCTGTCACTGTAGATCTTCTGAATAGTCTGTTTGAGAGTGAGTGCACCCATAACTTCTGTGTGGCTGCCGATAACATACTGTTATTGGTAAGCTTTTAAGGTGGTAGTTGTGTTTTGTTTTTAAAGCTGCTGAGGAAGAAAATATGTGAATCTCAAAAGGCAAATCTGTAGTGTAAATGTCAGAATTCTTTGTCTGGTTTGCATCACAGAGTTCTTCCAAGTATGGGCAGTTGCACTGCACCGCAGCTTGAAATTTTCAGACCATTACAGCAGGAAAACTGCCTGGCAGAACCAGCTCTTGTATGAGTGCTGCCCAGGAGGGACAGCACACGTCCTGCTTGTGAGGAGCAGAATTCAAAACCTGCAAATGATGAGCAGGATGTTAACCTCTAATTATCTTATTAGAAATCCTATTATGTATCTAAAATCCTTCTAGATGATAACTGAAAGGTTTTCTTGCCCTTTTTATGAAGCTCCAAAGAAATAATGCTGGAGAATGCTTTGTTTTGAGCAACTGGAAGGTTTAGGTGTTGATTAGTCACAAATCACTTAGAATTCTATCACAGAGAGCAGTGCAGTGTAGGGATACCTGTACTGCCTTGGTCTGTGTTTGGTGGACACGCCTGTGTTTATTCAGACTGATGAAATGGGATTGTGACCTCTGGTAGAATCCCCAGCAAGTGCCACTATTGTAGTAACTTAGAGTGACGTGGGTTTCTGTCTTAGGAACTGGACTTGAAGCTCTAATTTTATATATATTTTTTTCCTCATCTTTTACTTAGTTGATTTCTGTAAACTGTGGCCTACAGAAGATGAAAATCCATGTGGGAATTTGGCTCTGAGAGCTGAAATAGGATGGCAGTTTCTCATTTCAGTGTAGTAAAAGCATAGGCTTTGGTGTATTTAGCCTGGAGGCTACAGTCTCTTCAGTAGGCCCACAACTTTTCCTGTACTTTTTATACTTAGATGGTATCATAACACTTTGATTAATCAAATGTACTGAATAGAGAGAAAGTATGAAGAAATTCCTGAAGTTTCTAGCCCAGGAAGGCAGAAAGCCTGGTTAGCAGGTTAGTTACTTCATATCATGTTTTTTTTAAGTCATGTGTGACTTAAGAGTCCTGCTTAGTTCTTATGTAAGTTCTTGATGATCAAAAATAGTTCAGGCGTGGATGTCCTTCTCAGGATGTCCAACTCCTGTATTCAGTTTCCTCAGAGCAGTTAGTCTGGTGTGACCAGGCTGAAGGGTGCAGGAGTTGGGTATGGTGTCCCTGTAGAGCCAAGTGAGCTGTTGGAGTCACGCACCTCTGCAGAAGGCCAGTTGAAGAGTTGCACACCTCTGCTAAAAAGATTTTTTTCAGCATTAAAACAGTCTCCAAAGTCGAAAAGCTGTCCTTAGTTCAGTGTACTACTGAAGATGTGCTCAGTCTCTTGTGGAGACCAGATATACCCTACAGCAGTTCAGGATGAGAAGTGTCTTTTTTTTTCTCATTAGGAAGAGTGATTTGCTCTATGTGGAGTCATTCCTGCTTTGCAATTACACTTGATTTAATCATCTTATTCCTGCAGCTTTGTGCAAAAGATCTAGAAGATAAGTCTGGAGTCTCTCAAAGTTGCAGCATTCAGAAGAGTCTTGGTCTTGAAAGTGGTGTTGGCTTGGTTGTTCCCAAAGCTGTACACCCTTGCCTATGCAGGCAGCTTTCCTGTGTCAGCATCCTGAGAGGTTACAAGAGGAAGGCAGCAAACAGTGTAAGCAGTTGTGCACATCGAGTGCTCCGCCCTGTGGGAGCATGATTCATACATGTGTCTGAGAGGGAAGGCAGCCAATGGGACTTTTTAGAAAGCCATTCTAAGCACGCTGTGTACAACTAAAGGCACACTGCAGCAGCCTGAAAGCCTCAGGCTTCTGTGGAGATTTACATGGGTGCTGTGTACTGCATCTCAGTCTCAGTTCAGAGCCTTTATGAGATGGATCTTCAATCAGAAGAGTATCACAAGAGCATCACATGTAGGAGAATGAAAAGTACGAGGAAAAGATTGCTTTATGGAAAGAAAACCTTTGAGGACATAATGAACAAGAAGTTGGAGAATTTCTCATTTGAAATGGTTGTTATTCTGAGAGAGGGGTATTCATGATCCTAAATTTTACCTAAACTAAGAAACATTTTTAAACTATTAGATAATGAGACCATTTCTCCAGTTTTTCTTAAGTATCTACAGTTGCTTGAGGTATTAAATATGCCTGTACATCTATCTGCACCACACTGTGATGTGGAAAACGTGTCCAGACGTGTCACAAACTTGACCAGTAGCTATAATGTCAAACATGAGTTATTTTAATTTAAGTAGCAGGAAGTAATCCTGTGTTGGAAAACTGAAGAACTTGTGCTGATTTTCTGAGTAGGTTAAAAATCATTCTTGTTAGTGACCAGCTGAAGCAAGCTGCTTTCTTGGCTGAGGGACTCCTCAACAGCTCGGAGGTGAGACCTTTGCTTTTTCATAATACTGAGCTGACACAGGTCAGGCTGTAGCACCAGCTTCTTGTAGGGTTCTCCCTAGGCCAGAACGTTCTTCTCAAGAGAGTTGTTGGTAAGTTTTGCCTTTTAATGAATCTGGAAATTACTGTGATGGGTGTTCTTAATCTTGTGTGTGTGTAGTGCTGAATGGCACAGCACTACACGTGGCCTTACTTCAGTATCAGAGTTCCTAATGACAATGAAATGGAGAAGTTTCTGATCTGAAAGGTTCACAGCTGTAATATATTTTCAGCTGAACTGGTACATAGCTAACAGGAAACTTGAGTAATCTTAGCTATGGTGGGGAAGAGCAGCAGAAGTTGAAGCTGTTGAGTGGTATTCTAACCTTTTCTTTCTCTCCTCTTTTAAATCCTCTTTTTAGTTATGCCTGAGAAGAAGATCAGTTATATTTTTACAGCAGCTCAGTTTTTGAGTCAGTTAACTTGTATTACATTGTTGTAGGTACAGAAAAATCCCAGATTGAGATAGAAGCTGAAGGACAGTTCAGTCAACATAGGGAACGTGGAGGGAAGCTTGAAGATTTTAGAAATGCTAAATGTCAGGTGAAGCCAGGTCATTGTATTGCTAATGAACTCTTGACTTTTTGTAGATGATTTTCGATCCTACTATGAGCAAGAAGAAGAAGAGGAAGAAGAAGCCGTTTATGTTGGATGAGGAAGGAGCAGATACACAAACAGAAGAGACTCAGCAGTCAGAAACAAAAGAAGTTGAACCAGAGCCAACAGAAGACAAAGATGTTGAAGCAGATGAAGAAGACAGCAGGAAGAAAGGTAAAATGAATCTGTGTAGATAAGCTCTGTAGGGTGCCTCTGTATTTTGAGACTAGAAACCCCATTTCAAGAGCATGGTGTCATAAGAAATAGTTCAGGAGCTTGTCAATAATAATAATCTCTTGCTTATTTGAGAGACCTAATTTGCTTCTGCCTAAAACCGTGTCCACAAACATACAGCTTATGTTAATTCTGCTTTTTTGACTCAAATAGAATCACTGTGTGAGACAGTGAAAAAAGAAATCTTAAAACAGTTGCTTCTGTATGTAGTTGTTGCAGTATTTCTCCAATTAAGCTGTAATGTGAATAATAGAGATATGGCTAAAAAAATTTCTAGTTTTTGGGCAGCTATGAATGCCACAGCAAGAGTGTTACTCATAATCTTATTTGAAAATAAGCTTATGTGTGTGTATGTGACTTGGCCTTTAAGTTGAGACCAATGCTATTTCAAGATGACTTGAGTAAAGGAATGCTATTAACTTAAATCCCTTTTTTTTTTTTTCTTGTTAAGATTGGTTCCAACTGTCAACCAAAGAAACTATGCTTTTCTCCCGCGGTTTTCTTTTAGTTTTTCAGTGTTTCCAATATCATTTCAGAAGTAACTAGTTTCTTTTGCATAACAGAAAGAGAGATTCAACTCTTGAAAATAAGAAAATGCAGTTATAAGACACTGAAATTGTAAAACAGCTCTTGCAGTGTCTAGGGATAGATGAGAATGACCTCTCCTAAAACATGAAGGATATCTGTAGGAGCTACAGGTTACTGTTTGTGTCCTGCTGTCATGTTTTGAAGACTTTGGATGTGAATTGGAAACTGTAAAGTCTGAGCTGTTGCTGTGGTTGTTAACATCTGTGCCTTTGCCAATCACTTGTTGTTAGATGCAACAGATGACTTGGATGATTTGAACTTCTTCAATCAAAAGAAAAAGAAGAAGAAGCCAAAGAAGATATTTGATATAGATGAAGCAGAAGAAGGTGTAAAGGTTTGTCCCCATAACCAGGCCATCTTGTCTATTGCCAGAAACCTTCTTGCTTTCATTTTCTGGGGATTGTCTGTAGAGGAACTGTTTCCAATCTGACGTCTTGGTGCAGTTAATAGGAGTTTCACTGTGTCCTTTCTGTGTAGTAGTTCTGCTGAATATGTTAGTGCACAAAGGCATCTTGTCTGGAAATGAGAAAATCTAACAGATATTTGCAGTAAGCCAGTAATTCTGTGACTTGCAGGAAGGGCTGATTATCACCAAGGTTAGCTCCCTTTTGAGGCGAGAGGAAGATAGGTGATGTCAGAAGCAGTGCACAGAACAGTCCTCTAAAGGCCACTCTTCAAATAAAGGGTGTTTATCTGCTATGAAATCTGTTTTTACTCTCATGTTTTCTTTAGAAATGATTGGCTACCGTTCTGTGTTCCAGAATTTGTGCAAGGTATTTTTACTCTTCTCAAGTTTTATTCCAAGTCATCATTTAGTATCGCATGTCAGTGTAACTGGAAAGCCCAGAGAGCAAGAGGGTAGATAAATGTTATGTTACATGTAGACCTGCTATTGGATTTTGCCTTCTGAGGAGGAAAAGCCCCTCTGATCTGACCCAAACAGCACAAGTGCTTGCTGTGTGTGTTCTCTGTGAGAACATGCCTGCATCCAAGAAAGGATTGTGGTAACAAAGCTAGGAAAGGAATGTGATAAATTAGATTTGCTGCAGGTAGCACAGCTTTGCTTCTCAGTAGTGTGCATGGCATGCAGGGGGTTTTGTTCCCCTGCACCCTAATGTGGCTGCTGCCTTTAATGAAATACAGTGTTAGTTTCTCACCAGCCAATGTTAACTCAAAGTTTCTTGTCTGCATTCATTATCTGCAAGGAAACAGTGTATTCCAAAGGAAGTAGCGTAGACTAGATACAGTTTCAATACAGAACTGGTACCTGTTAGGTGCGGGTTCCTCATAGTAGCTCAGCTTGACATCTGAAAAATCTGTCCCTGTTTCATGTGTTTTAGTGCAGGGCTCTCCTCAACAAACTTTAGTTTCTGTTCTTTTCTGTATGTTTCAGGACTGTGGTAGGTACTGCTAATACTTATACTGATAGCACACTATACTAGATGGTTTCTAATGCTGTGTAGTGAAGATTTATGTTTAATACTGGATGCTGCAGTCTTAATTTTTTTTTTGGTAGGAATTAAAAATTGAGGGAGATGTGCCAGAGGTGGTAGAACCCGAAGATGACCTTGACATCATGCTGGGCAATAAGAAGAAAAAGAAAAAGTTTGTGAAGTTTCCAGATGAAGATGAAATACTGGAAAAGGATGAAGGTAAAAGTAGAATATAGTTAAGGAAGTTTTGAAACTGGAAAGGCCGTTCTGTAGGTGAATAACTTGTTTGGGTATCTTTTATTCTAAAAATTAATCTGTTACTCTTATCACTGTCGTGATTATCAGAAAAACGTTCTACAGAAGGAGCCTAAATCCACAGTAAGTGCTGATAGCCCTTCTAGCCAGATGAACAGAGATTTCTCATCTCAGTAAAATCTTCTGTTGATGTACCTTTGAGCAGTGGTGTGCACTCAAGGTTAAGTAAATGTTTTTTTCTTAATGAATCCCATACAACTTTTGTTACAGCTTTTGAGGATGAAGATAGCAAAAAAGATGATGGAATTTCTTTTAGCCTTCAGTCGGGACCTGCGTGGGCAGGCTCAGAAAGGGACTACACATATGATGAGGTAATGTTAAAAGGCTTTCAAAGTATCTTTCATGTTAATATGCTATATCAGAGCAGAGCCTTATGTTCGTGTCCTCTTTCCAACTTTAAATTAGAGGCTTCTACTCAGAAGCACGTGAAGACAAAAATAACAGAGCATCTTTTGTCACAGTTAACTTTCATATGGGGCTATGTTAATGATGTTTAAGGTGACTTTTGCAAGCAGGCTGGTTATAAAGTAAACTCCTATGAAAGCATCTTTCAGTCTTCACATTTATCAGAACATTTTAAAAGTGTGTTCAGAAGCTTTCAGGGAGATGTTCATGGGCGAATTTGGTCTAATACTCATTGTTAATGCTATCTCAGGATTTTAGAAGCGATGTACTGCAATGTGAGTATCTCGTGTATCTTGAATGATGATTTGCTTGTTTTTGCAGTTGCTCAATAGAGTATTTAACATCATGCGGGAAAAAAACCCAGATATGGTAGCTGGAGAAAAAAGGAAATTTGTCATGAAGCCTCCGCAGGTGGTGAGAGTAGGGACCAAGAAAACATCCTTTGTCAATTTTACAGATATCTGCAAATTGTAAGTGTTACTCTTAACATTTGTCAAAAATAGTAGAATTTTCTGTGCTGTTAGCTGTTGAATATGTGCTTTTTGACAAAAGACAGACCAAAATGAAAGCTATTTTGGCGTACTGTTCATTTCCTCTATTTTTCTTGGTACAGTATTTATGAAGGTTACAATTTCTTACTTTTTACTTTAGTTACCAGTATGATAGGCTTGCTTCATGGATCTTGTGGACTGAAACAAAACCTGTTCACTTGTAGCAAGTTTGTGGTTGGGTCTCCAATGCTTTTTATTTGTAAGGCTTCGGATACAGGAACACGGATGAATATTCCTTCTAATTTTGAGATAAACTGCAAATACTGTTCTCTTGATAAATGCCATGGAGTTCAGTATTGTTTTTCCTATGCTTCTTTGTCCTAATTACTTCTGTTCATTGTGGGTACTTGTAGGAGCACACTTCTGGTTTGTTTTGTAGGTGTCCAGACAAACATACTGAGTATCTGGATGATACACTACAGTAAAATTTGAGGGGTTGCTATCAATGCTTTTTGCAGAGCACTGTGGATAGCAAAGGGGTTGAGTGGAAAATCTGAGATATAAAAACTTGCTTTCAGCTTAATTTCAGTAATTACTCTCTAATTATGGTGTATGTGCATGTGTGTGGACTGTTCAACTTTCCTGTGTCCTCAGTTCATTGTCTGCCTCTGCTGTTTGGTACAGACCCTCTGGCACTGCCCTTTTAAATTTGATAATTTAAGATCATTTTAGCCTGCTATTTCTGTATAGGTATCAAATTTCTCTGGAGGACAGGGGTTAAAGATATCCTTACTTATATTTTTAGATTACATCGTCAGCCAAAACATCTCCTGGCATTTTTGTTGGCAGAATTGGGTACAAGGTAAGGCTATGGGGCTGTATGTGTGCGTATGCAGGAAGCAATGGCAGCGTAGTTGGTATTGATCAAATGTAAGATTCCTCATTTTAGATCTGTTCATATGTGCTTGAACATCAGGCTCTCCTTTCCTACACCCAGATGCTGTGCTGGGTGATCGAAGACAGAGCAGCTCATGGAAGAGGTGCTGAGGAAAGCTCTCAGTCCTGGGAAACAATTAGGATAACACTTTGGGTTTGTTAACCAGGACTTCTCTCAAAAAATGATCTAATCACAGAGCTGATTGACTCAATTGGTGAGGATGGCTCTTCAGCTCATAATTACCTTGAGGCATGTAATTGCTAAGGAAGAGAATATCTGCCCATCTGATAGAAGTTTTGAGGGCCTGTAGCTAGTCACTCTAATGCCACACGTAAGATTCTCTTGTCTTAGCATAAAAAATGCTTGTGCTTTTAAAGGCCTTTGATATCAAAGGCCTTTAAATTATCTCATGCTGTGATAATGTACTTTCTTGTTGTCTAGTTATATCTGTCTTGTGGATTAAAATACTGTTATGTAGACATACAGAATCAAGCTATCTAATTGCAGTGTGGATATAACAAAGTCTTCAGTTTTGGATGATGTGAAACAAAAACTTGCAAACTATAGTCTGAAAATGTGTTCAGTTTATTGTGTCAAAGTGGCTAGGAGAGTGTCTTAGTAAGACAGAATAGTAGAGTTGTCTTGGTCACTTCTGTGAGACAAGCAGGTACTAATTCTCATTTCCTAATTTGGCAGCTTCACTGTAAAACTGCTCTCTCAATTGATCTTGTTTTTATTGCAGTTAGTATTGTGTTTGTGTGACCTTTGTATAGATTTTAAAATGCTGTCAGAATTCTACATGCTATTTTTTCCATGAAGTAATTCTGGCTTACTCTTACCTTGAATGCATCAGTTATCTCATTCATGTTCCTGACTTCATATACTTTTTAACATTTGATATCTTTTGTAAATCAATTACTTCACATTCCTTTTTCTTTTAACCTAGTGGCTCAATAGATGGTAACAACCAGCTTGTAATCAAAGGAAGATTCCAGCAAAAACAGATAGAAAACGTCTTGAGAAGATATATCAGTAAGTATAACTTCCTTTTCCCCTACAGATTTCTCCCAGACCCCATTTGGTGACTGGTGGTCTGTGTATGGCCCACAGGCTTCTGCATGTGTGCATGTCATGGAGAGTCTGTGCTAACAAGTGATGGTTTTGCTGTTACTTTATAATGGGATAATGCAAGTCAAGGTTGATGTACTGTACTATAGCAAGTACCTGGGCAGTAATCTGTCCTGGCACTGAAATGTGCCAAGGAAAACAATGCAAGTGATTGAGAATTTCTTGTCTTCATCCGAATTTTCACTTTTAGTTTTGATGAGGACTACAAAAATTGAACAGTAATTGTTGCTGTTCAAGTTTGTTGTTCGTGTTAATTAACAAATAAAGCATATGTGCTGCTAGGTAAGGGACTTGCAGACTATTTGCAGCAAAAAAAAAATGCTGTTTTAGACAGTGCTGTATCTTCACAAGGTTTGCTGACAAGTGGGAATTTTCAACAAAGAAAGTCATGGGAAGCCAGAGAGGAGCTTTAACTGATGATCATTTTTAAAGCACTGGTGCCAGTGCACAATGTACCAGATGAAACCCTCTCTTTGTTAACCTGGGAGCTGGGAGGAATTTTTAGGTTGTCTCAACCTCTGTGATTTTCACAGTAAGCATCTTCTAATTCAGTAGATCAATTTAAACAGCCTTTGAAAACAACTGTTAAACTAAAGACTGAAGAACTGGTGGAGTGTGTCTGTTTGTTTGTTTCCTGCTGGTAATTCATGATCTTTTAACTACAAATTAATTCCTTTCCTGCAGAGGAGTATGTCACCTGTCATACGTGTCGGTCACCAGACACAATTCTACAGAAGGACACCAGGTTATATTTCTTGCAGTGTGAGACTTGCCACTCCCGCTGCTCCGTCGCCAGCATCAAAACTGGTTTCCAGGCTGTCACAGGCAAGAGAGCACAGCTCCGTGCCAAAGCTAACTAGTTTGCTAATCAACACTGGATTTTGCAAAGTGTTCTGGGGAGATATGACTGGACAGGTTTACAATCGGAATGGATTTACTTACCATTGTATTAAAACAAAGATTGTAAAAACTACAAGAAATTTGGCTTTTGATTGATTGGTCTGTGAAATCCTTGCAAGTTGCAGATCCTCAAGCTGTTCACATACATTTGCTCATTGAATATATTTTACCAACTGTAAGGAACGTGATGGGAAAGGAGGTGCTTTTTAATCCATTCAGACTTCTGTAAAACACGAGATAAATTAAAGATACTGTAACAGTGAGCGTCTTTGATTTGGGTTTTTCCTTCAGTTTCTGCTTAAAAGAGTTCCTGGGAATGGTTGGTGTTCTGTTCTGCAGATCACATCACTGAGCTGTGCCCGAGACTTAGATTGAAGTTTAGGATTATTTTGGTTTTATGTAATGAGTTGATCTTTAGGTAGGCTGTCATTAAGCAGAGAGATTGGTCGCAGAACAGAGGTGATGTACCAACATAAGAACTGGTTGTGCTTTTATAGCCACTTTAGAATGGGAACATATTGGCAGTGACATCAGGACAGGTTGATACTGCTTTATTAGGCAGACTGTAGCTTGAGCTAGTTCAGACACCATATTGATGCTGAGTCTTAACACAGAATTGATAAGCTATTATAAGCTTTCATAGTATCATAGTACTAAATTTTGCAATTTCTAATAGAGAAATGTTTATATTAAGTCCTGCACTCTTCATCACTTTAAGAAAAAAAAATTAAATGCAGCAAAAATAGAAAAGTAGGTGACATCATTATATGATGGCTGCAACACACTTCTGGATAAATCTTGAATTTATGGAACATACTACCAAGGAGTTTATATTCCAAATTAATGCAGTGTCACCTCATGGTTGTAAGTCATGTACTTCTCTCCACTAGCAGCCAGTATCAGTAATTTTGGGGGGATGCACACAGTGCTGCCCTAACTTGTTTTTTCTAGTGCTGCAGAAATTTTCTTACAGTTGCCAAGTACAAAGATGCAAATGGAAGGTGAGCCCTTTGTGAGTACTGTATTGGGGGGGATGGGAAACTAATAGAAGTTGTTTTCATTTAACCCATCTATAACATGGTGCAGAGTCAGGCTGAGGTGCAATAGCTCAGGACTATTGACTTGCATCCCTGAGACTTTGCGGAGTTGCTTCCTCCTATGGGAAAACTGTGGTGGTTGTGAACACAAAGTACCAGAAACTGAAGGGTTTCTACTAAGTTTTAATCTTTGTACGTATGTTAATGCACAGCACAGTTTTGCTGGGAAGTCACTTACTTGCTATTTGAAAACTTGACAGCACTGTAAGGCAAAAAATCAAGATTTTTATAGTTGGTTTCTTAAAAGCATTATGAATTCCAAGTGAGCTATAACAAATGTTGGATGTATCTTTAAGTGAATAAAGCCAGGATCAGTGCCTCTTGTAACATTATTGTTGTATTCTTGTTTTTTTCTCTAGCAAATAGGCATTCTCCTGTTGGCAATAAAACTGGAGAAGTGCTGGTTGCCTTCTTCTTTCAGTGACCTACTAAAATAACTAAAAAACCAATTCAGTGCTCTTTGCATGCATGCTTTCCTGACTCAAATAATTTTATTGTCCATAAAAATTAATCATCCATCTTATAAATGCAAGCTGAGGCTGTTTTAGTGGGTTAAATGCAGAGTTTAATTTCACTATATTTGGATCAAAAAGTTTGTTAATATTGAAATAAACCAAACCCATCATATGTGAGGTCTGATGACTATGGACACTTCATAGGTGTATTTTGTCTCTTGACATGAAAGCCCACAGGCGTTGGTGTTGATGGCTAATGGAGTGTAAAACATCTTGATGTGGACTTTGCTGGCACGTAAGTCTGCTGTGTCTGGGAGCAGATACTTGTTTATTGAAAGCAAACATAAGAACCTCCACCTTTTTCCCAGTGTATCTTCAAAAACAAATATAATCCTCTGTGTGTGTTTTGTGGCTATTGCTGCTTACCAGGCTGATGGGTTTGAAGTACAGTCCTGTGTTCAGAGGCAAAAAAAAAAAAGGCTTTGTTGTACTGCTGAATGTAAGTAAGCAGCTTAGAAATGGATTTCTTAAGAGAGCAAGGTGGTAGCTTTGTTTGCCATGGGCCTGTGTGCAGGCATGGATGACTGGGAGGCAAACAGTTCTGTTTCTATGTCCTTTCCTCAGTGAGATGCAACTTGGCTGTGTGGTGCAGGTAGAGATGTGGGAACTGGATTTTCATTTGGCACTGAAGGGAATCCCTGTTTGAGGGGGCTGGGTAAGAGCTGAGGAGTTAAGGAGTACAGTGATGCAGTTGAGTTGCTTTTCTCCACGTCTTCTGTATTTGAGTTTTTATGCTTTATTTAAGTGATCTCAGCTATTGTAGGTCTGTTCCCTTCAGTAATGAAGATGCAACACCTCCAGCCCTAACCATGAAAGTCTTCTGAAAGCCATCACTGAAGGTCCTAGGAGAACTATAGAGTCATTCTGTGGTTAATCAGCCTGAAATTTACTGATATCCTTAGAAGAACAATGTCTTTTTAACGCATTTGCCAGGTAAATACTTCTGTTGTGTATACAGGGAGCTGAAACTCAAGGACTTGCTTGTGTCACCACATAATGGGTAAAATGAAAACAGACCTGATTCCCTGATTTGCTGTGGTGGCAGTAGGATCAGCTGCTGATGTCATGTGGCTCTGTTCTGAATTAACACCACTATTCAAGTAAAATGGGTGGACCTAAGCACACCTTATGGGAGCATCTGTCTAGAGCAAGGATTTAAAGCAGCAGTGTTTTTTATGACCTGAAATGAGATGAAGAAGAATGAAGGAGAGGTGTTTCTGAGAAGTTCCTGTGGTCTGTGAGGCTTCTGGCCACAGCTGTGTGTGGTTCATCAAGGAATGTGTTCTCCAGTCATATACCTTGTACCCTGGAATCCCTGGTTTGTGTCAGGTTTGTGTCTGTTTGACAGGGAAATGGTCATCTGAGATGAGCAAGAGGAAAAAACATGAGCTTGAAGGGTGCTGAAGAGAGAAGGAGGTTTATCACAAATTGCAGGGGGTGCTCTGTGGTAAATAGGGTGAAAGTACATCTGCTGATAGTCTGGCAGAGGGTGGATGGAAGTAGAAACTTGCAGGGAGGTTCTGCAAGTCAGGAGAATGAAGTTGTGTGATGCTGACAGCTGGATTTGTAATAATTTATCTGTAGTGTTTTGAATAATGTTCTCCATGTATCTGTGCTGCCCCTCTGATCCATGTTTTTTCCAGTGATGTATTCCAGATTACCAGAAGAGCATCCAAGAGGCTGAAGGCTGAGCTTTGAGAAGGAATTGAAGGCAGATGTTTAGCAGCAAACACAAGAGTTACCAGTTCAACGTCAGTTTGCTTGGACAACAAACTGCAAAGTCACTTGAGTTTGCTAGACAATTGCTTGCTTTTTTTTTTACACAGAGGTCAGACACAGTGGCAACACCAGATGCTCTCTGCTCTTCCAGCAGGAGGAGGCCCAAAGCTCAAGTCTGCAGGTGCTTGGACTGCTGTTGGTGGAGGGTGGGTTGGACACGTGCAGCTCTACATGTTCTTTCTGCATGCACAGGGCATGGTGGCAGTTCCTGTCCCATGTACCTTTCTGTTTGCCTTGGGAAAACTAATCTCAAATCTCTTTACCAAGAGAGCAGTGAGGTGCTGGAACAGCTGCCCAGAGAGGCTGTGGATGCCCCGTCCATCCCTGAGGTGTTCAGGGCCAGGTTGGATGGGGCCCTGGGCAGCCTGGGCTGGTATTGAATGGGGAGGTTGGTGGCCCTGCATGGGGCAGGGGAGTTGGAGCTTCGTGATCCTTGAGGTCCCTTCCAACCCTGGCCATTCTATAATTGTATGGAATGCTTGTTATTTGGGTTGGTAGCTGAAAGCACTTAAGATAAACCATAGAATGAGGTGGCAGAGAAGTGCCAGTGCTGCTTTAGACAGAGGAAGTGAAGCTGCACACGGAAACATTGCTGCTGGTAGACCTGAGGCTTTTCTCTGCAGGAAGAGAAATGCTTTCTTCTTTCCCTACTGCTGTGACCACACCGGTGGCTCCATTCCTCCTTGTGCAGCTGTTCATTTTTCTTTTTGTGCACTGTGAACCACTGCGTATTTCTGAAATCCAATAGTAAAAACTCGACATCTGTGCCATTAATCATTTTCCTGCTGCACACTCAACAGAAATGTGTGGATAACTCCCCTGGTCCATTCCATTTCTGTGGTAAGTCTGTGTCCTCTGAGAGATGGGGGTTTCTCTGATGTTCTGCTTCTATAAGTGATGAGGGGGTTGGTGTTTTTTGGATTTTTCGGGCACTAGAATTAAAGCAAAGCTTCATAGTGACTCCTAAGACTGAACTACAGAGAGCTCTGTGTCTGGCCCCCCTGAAACTGCAGCCAGCTGGGATGCTGGAAAGGAGGAAAATGTTTGTAACCATGAGCAGAATTTAGCCTGTGTGTGTGGATTTCTACAGGCATCCATGTAGTTTATGTGTCGGGTTGGAAGCAAGGGAAAATCTGCAATGAATGCTTTCAAAATCTTTTTGAGGATTTTCTAAATTCTGTATCAAAGCAAATGAGTTTTAAATCCTTTTATTTTTTTCCCCCCTCCCCAAGCCTTGCTTGTTGCTCTGGGTAATTGTCCCAAAGGTTTCCTTTGCTTTCTTTCCTCTGTGCAGAAACGGGTTGCTCTGCAGCATGGATGGAGCATACTTACACTGGTAGGGGATGGGGCTGGATCTTGGGGCTCCTAACGTGGTCTCACAGTCCTCCTGTGGCAAAACTCATTTCTTCAAAAGAGGAAAATAAAAACAAATCTTATTACTTCCACTACAAGGAGAAAAGCTGAATGTGCTCCTTTTTAAAAGCAAGGCACAAAAGGCAAGTGAAAAGCACGTCTGTGATCCTTTTCAGTTCTGTGCACTGAAATGCCTTTCCCTGCTGCTCACGGTCTTGCTGCCTGCTGCAGGTCTTGTGTGTTGCTTTTGGGCCAGCACCAAAATAGCCCTTCTGCAGCATGATCCATCATTCTGGGGAATGTGAGTTCATCTGCAATGAAGCTTGTGCCATTTTCTCTCCCTGCTTTGTCCCCACGCTTTCTGATGCTCTCGAACAATGGGGTTCTCAACCTGCGAGTCTCAGCCAAAACAGGATGGGAATTTTCCTTTTTCCTACTTAAAAGAACTCTGTGGAGGTCTCTCAGGTCCTCTTGAGTGGTTGTTTAGGTCCAAGGCTGTGATTGCCATTGAGGGGTTACCTAAAGACTGAGAGGATGCTTGGGACTGGCTTTCTCAGCACATGCAGGCTCTTCATTTTTATTGTCTTTGAGCATTTGTTTTTAATGCAGACATCCCCCTCTCATAGTGAACTGGAGCACATTGTTCGTCCAGACCAATGCACGGAGACTGGGGCTGTGGCTGTTAAATCTCAACTCTGACAAAGGAAGTATTTGGGCTTGAAGGGTGGTGTGGGGTGGGAGGGAAAACTAGAAAACAGATAAAAGCTGTGGGTTGAGATAATGAATGTTAAATAGGATAGAAAATGAAGAGATCATAATAGAATAAACCAAACGGGATGCACAATGCAGTTGCTCATCATTAGCCAGCTCCTCCCATTTCATATTTCAGCATGACATCATGTGGTGTGGGACGTCCCCTGGGCTGCTTTGTGTCAGCAGTCCTGGTCCTGTCCCCTCCAGCTCCTCACTGGCAGGGCAGAATGAGAGGCTGAAACAGCCTTGGCTCTGTGCAGCACTGCTCAGCAGCAGCTACAGCGTTAAAAAAGTAATGCCTCCTCTTTATTTCCATGGGAAAGACAACGGGTACAAGGAGCATAATAACGCTATTTGGTAGAATAGATTCTCAGCTACAAACTACAATTTTTCAACAGTCACCTCCATTAGCTCTACATTTTCAGCAGTGATGAATAAGAGTGTTCATGCTGTTCTTGTAAATGAGCTTTGTTGATGAATGTCAATAGGTGCCAGTTCTTCTGTGTGGAGGAATGCAGCTCCACATCCTTGCTCCATAGCACTCGTGTCAGATGCCATTCTGTCAGACTGCAACAGAATGGAATGGGATAGTGGTGGGAAGGTTCAAGCTCTACTGCCATCCCACCAACATCTGCCTCTGATGTCATCACAGAATGGCCAGGGTTGGAAGGGACCTCAAGGATCATGAAGTCTAACACCTCTGCTGTATGCAGGGCCACAAACCCCCACATTTAATATCAGACCAGGCTGCCCCATCCAACCTGGCCTTGAACACCTCCAGGAATGGGGCATCCACAGCCTCTCTGGGCGTGTCATGGGCCAACACCATAAAATAGGAGACATTACTTTCAGAGCAGCCCTCGTAATAATAGAAAGCGAGGGTTGGGCAAGTGGGGAAATGCAAATAAAGAAAAAACAAAACAAAAAAAGCAAGAAATGCAGTGGGAAAAGTGTTGCTTTGTGAGTGCAGAGCTGGTTCTGGGTTGGATGTGGAACGGCGCTGTGTGAGTGTGGCTCTCTGATTGCTGTGAATCACTCAGCTGCCTCCATTGGGTGGGAACACCCAGTGCTGCACCTGCAGGGCACCGAGTGTTTCAGTGTGACACCCAGTGTCTTCTATGCTCCCAGCCTTGTGGTCGGAGATCAGCTCTTCCATCTGTAAGGCAGGTTGCTCTTCTCTTACCCTCTGCACTGCTGTCTTCTTACTGCTTCTTTGGTGATTCAGTTGGATTCAACAGACCGTGTGCTGTCCCAGTGCCTATATGGGAAGTTGGTCTTCTCTGTGCACCACCTGCGAGTGCCCAAATTGGGTATCTGCCAACACGAGTTGCATCCAGCTTGGAAAGCGCCTGGCTGTTGTCCAGGAGGAAGGCCTTGAGCTCATCTGACAACACTCATTTCTGCTGTGGAAAGAAAAGAATGGGGACATCTTGAATGGGAAAATGATCCCCCAGCAAAAATTTGAATGTGGGAAAAAGCATCTGTATGTTGCTGTATAAAGATGGCATTTCCAACAGGTTTTCTGAAAGCTCCCTGCTGCCAGGAGAATGGCTGAAACAACTGCAACAAAAGCAGATCTGTGCTCCTTACAGTGATGGAGCTCTTGGTAGGACTGTCCCCAAAGGAGGTGGCTGTGTGCCTCTCGTAGGTGGTGCCCCATTCTTTGCTGTGCTCATTGCTCACTCACAGAGAGCAGTGCAGGTTCTGTATGTCCTGCTGCTGGGGGAACACTTCTGTTGGGGGTAAGCCAGACCTGGTTGGGCATCAGATGAATGCTATGAAGAGCAGTCGCAAAGGCAGCACGCGGTGTCTCTGCTGCAGATGGGTGGGTGTGCATTGTTCTGCCCTGCTGGAGTCCCTCCTCAAATGAGCTATTAAGGTTTTCTGCAGATGAGAACAATTCCCAGTGGATCACTGCTTTGGTTCATTTACAATCAGATTTCTCAAAGCTGTTCATAGCGCAGCTCTGAGTGTCACCATCTGCAGCTGGGATCTGTTTTTCAGAAGAAAATCCCATGCAGTAAACTGGTTTGACAGGAGGATCTGGAATGAATTAGAGGAGCTGAACACGTCTTCTGTCCTTGTTTTTGCTGGTGGGGCTCTGGAGCATTTGACAAGGGGAAATGGTTTTAAGCTGAGGGAAGGGAGATTTAGGTTGGACGTCAGGGGGAAATTCTTTACGGAGAGAGTGGTGAGGTGCTGGAACAGCTGCCCAGGGAGGTTGTGGATGCCCTGTCCCTGGGGGTGTTCGGGGCCAGGTTGGATGGGGCCCTGGGCAGTCTGGTCTAGCATTAGGTGGGATGGTTGGTGGCCCTGTGTGTGGCAGGGGGGTTGGAGATTCGTGATCCTTGAGGTCCCTTCCAACCCTGGCCATTCTGTGATTCTGTGACTTCTGGTGTTGTTCTTGTGGTGTTGGCATTGTTCATCTCCTGCGTGCTTTGGGCTGCTGCCCACTAGGGCTCAGTCCTTGTGGGTATCTGAGCACCCAAACTATGCTGATGGGCTCAGCACAACTGGTGGTACATGGAAGGGAGAGAAATTCCAAGGTAGCCACGTTGGGAAAACACACAGAGGGGTGTGAATGTGATGGGTAACACTGGGACTGGAGCTGCATCACTCCACCACCAGCTGGGTGACCCCTCAGGCACCTGGCACTGCCACTTTTCTTAATACATCCCACTCTTTTTGTCCTTTTGGTTTCAATTCACCTTCCCATGCTTTGATTAACACATCTTTGCATCTTCTCCCTCTCTCTTGAAATTCTGGTTTTTGAATGCAAATGCACATCCCAGTGCCCATGTGGGCCTGATGTGCCCCCCATGCATGGAAGTTGTGCTGATTCTGTGTTCACACCTAATCAGCAAAGGCTATGTGAGTTGTCTTAGAAGAACTTTTAGGCACAAAGACAGTCCCTTATGGTCAATTTATGATTATTCTAGTTCTGTCCTTTCTCCTTCTGCCTGATCTCATCTTTTCACATCAGTTCTTAATGCAGTTATTCAAATATTACATCAGATGCTGATGTGGAAACAAGCTCCCAATTGCTTGTGCTCCCGGCCTGTGAACACCATCTTGAGGTCCTGAAATCTCCCAGCACTCAGTCCTGGTGCTCATGGTGGAAGCTGCCTGCCTTGGCCCCCAGGACTGCTCACACTGAGCTCAGAGTGAGGCACTCTGCACTGCAGGGCTGTTCCAGTGCCCCATCCTGCTGCCATGGCCAACCAAGAGCTATGTGGGACTGCCCCTGACTGCAAGCAGTGTGAATCCTCTGTGAGTGGGGTGAGTTGGGCTGTATTGGCCTAGGAAGAACCAGCAGCCCCCAAACATGTTGGGATTACTTCAAAGGATGCTTCAGTTGGAGGGACAGTACCAGGGAAGAAGCACTGTGATGTGGAGCAAACCCAAGAAGAGAGTTCAGAGGAGCCATTGCTTTGCTACACTGGTCCCTGGGCTCTTCCAGGCAGACCCTGAAGACCAGCAGGTACTTTCTAAGCACACACCTCATTTTTACAGTTCCTTGAATGTTTTCAGGTTGCTAATCAAGGTTCTGCTTTGCTTCTCAACATCTGATCCATGGTTGGGCAGTGCTTTCCTGGAGGATAATGGCTGGTTCCCACTGGGAGCCATTGGAGGTAGTTGACTACATCTCTCAATATTTCCACAACTTTAAGAGTGAGAAAAAATATGGAATTATCCCACAGATAATGGGAAGGTGTTCCAGGAGGGATATGACATAGAGGCAGTGTCCGGCATGGTTATTATTACCACTGCAATAACATAAAGATTTCCAAAGCAATGAATGGACTTCGAGCATGTGGTAGGATTTATTAAAGTCAGCGGGGGCTTTTGTTGTGTCTCCTGACAGAAATTCATTGCAAGGCTACAGGCATCTCAGCCTGGCAGGTTGTCTTTCCATGTCCAGAAGCTCATTGGTGTTGCATTGGCACAGGCTGCTGATGGAGGTGGTGGAGTCACCGTCTCTGGAGGTGCTCAGCAAAAGGTTAAATGTGGTAACGAGAGACATGGTGTCGTGGTTGTATGGTTTTTGTTATCGTATTCCACATCACGGTTAGTAGGGATGCATCATGGTTGGACTTGATGATCTTAGTGGTCTTTCCAACCTTAATGATTTGGTGACCAAAGGAGTGTTAGGGACTGGAGTAACCCTGCTTTGTTGCTCTAACATCCACTGCTCTGAAAGAGCAGAGCACCAAAAAGCCTTGCACATTGTCTTTTCCCATCCAGAGCAGCACATTTAAGCCCAAAGCTTAAGCCTCACATGTTTCACATTTCTGGAGGTGCAGGCATCACAGTAGGGGATGGGAACATCTGGATTTGTCTCCAGCAAAGACAATGTTGCTGTCACCATGATGACAAATGGAGCAGCAAATGTGAGAAGGCAAGTGATGTTCACAGGTCCCAGTAGTGCAGTCTTGCATTTGTGGGTGGTGGGGAAAAGCTTCCACAACTTCCAGTTCACAAGATGGGAACTGGATGTACACTTATTTCAGTTGTCACTCTACAGTGGTGGCTTCTCTTCAGAGAGTGCAGATGGTGAATTAAATGTTCCTCCTGTGGAAACGCCCAACCCTTGTCTTGGCACATCCCAGCAGGGCAGCATCAAGTGACAGGGGCCGACTCCATGGGGACATCATGAAGGGGACATCATGGGAAAGCTGTTCCCACGTGGCTGGGTGAGCACAGGGTGGGACAACTTCACAGCCATTCAAGAGCTAACAAGATGTGACAGAAGGACCACAAGTCCACCACAGCAAAGCCAGTAATGGGGTTCTGCTCTTCCCTGCAGTCTGTTCTCATGTGACAGCAGAGCATGTTCAGAGTCAGTACTGTGGTTCAGGAGCTGAGCTGTGACCAAAGCATGCAGCTCCCACCCCACATTTGTGGGTGTGCGTGCATGGAAAAATGGGGTGGGAGGGGAGGGCTGGGACAGCAGCAGTGTGCAGGAAGAGGTGAAGCTCCTCTCTTGGTAGCGATCCTCCCCAGCAAAGCCTGCAGGCTGCTTCTCGTCTGCCCTATGGCCTGAAGAGTGAGCGGAATGTTCCCTTTTTCCACCCCACTGCTCTGCCTTTGCCTCTTTGTGAGATCTGCTGCACGGTCCCATACAAAACTCACCTTGCGAGGATGGATTTACGGCTAAAAGCAAAGATAACTGCCGGGCAAGGGCCTGCCTAACAGTTCCCAAAATCCTTCATCCTCTGCAAAAATTCAGCAGAATCAGAACAGCTGTGTGCCAAGAGCCCTTGGCCATGCTCTAATGGCCTAAAACCAACTGCTGCACCAAGCTGGAGCACTGCTGGGCTGGGCATGGGGCTCAGGGTGGGCATGGAGAGAAGAACGCTCTCAAAGCTCAGCCCTTACACCCTGAGCAAAAGAAACCCAGTCCTGCTGGCAGAGCTGAAGCTCAGGGAGGGAAAGAAGATTTGCTCGTGAAATACAGCAGAAAAGCACGTGTCTGTGTAGGACAGAGAAGACAACAAAAGCAAATTAGATTTCTTTAGATTTCTTTCTTTTATTATACAGGATCGTATGTACAAGGTCACCTTTCTCCCAGACAGCAGCATCACAGCCAGTTCATAGCAAAAACCGCAGCTCATCTCTCAAAGCCTAGAAAACAGCTCTACAACGGCTCAGTACAACACAATGGATAAAGTGTACAGGAACCGGAAAAAGGTAGGGGAAAGCACGGTGATCCCTTAATTCCCTCATGACTTATTCAAAACTAAGAAATGCAAATAAAACATTGTGCTTCAAGAGCCATGCTTGCTCCAGGATGGTCCTCTGGGCAGGGAAGCGGTGCCCCCATGACCTGTTCTCCCCTCCACCCTTCAGAGAGAGATGCTGTAGAAGAGGTCTGGCTTTGAGCGCTGGAGCAGAAAGCAGGAGTCCCCTTTCAGAGCACCCTGTGCAGTCCGGGGGGTGCACATGGGCTGTTGGACTGAGGAGAAGGTGTGGACAGCATTCTGGATTCAAAGCACTGATTGTGTGTGTGTTTTGGAGGGGGAGTGGGAAACAGAGGGGAGATGGGCAGGACACAACTGATCTGAATAAAGTGCTGCGTGAGTCTCAGCCCCATCTGCCTCTGAACCCAGAAAAACTGCATAAGCACATGGAAGAGGAAGGAACAAGATGAGAAGGGCTGAGAGACTTCTTGGGTGTTGTAGTGAGAAAGGACTGCTTCAGCCTCCTACTTGCAGGACGTGGCATGGGTCAAAAGCAGGAGAAAGAGATGCTTGCACACTCACACACGTTGTGCTGGGGTCACTGTAATCGGCCTCAGCACGCTCAGGAGCTGCACTGCAGAGCCATTGGATGATGGAGCACAGCTGTGGTGGTCAGCAGCTGCACAGCACTGTCCTGATGCCCCAGAGACTCAGGAGAGCCAGCTGAGGAACAGATGTGAGCAGCAGGGCAGGGGCTGACTGCTCTGGCTGGAGATGGGTCACAGCCCTTCCAGGGAGCTGCTGCTCCAGAAGGTTGCATCCACCTGCTTGATGCATGCTTGCACCTCTTTTCTGCTGTATGGCTGAAGACGACGCATGTCTTGTTTCTCCTGCTTTGGATCACTTGCTCTCCTGCAGGCAGCATCTCCTTACCTTCTCCTCTCTTCAAGCAGCTGCAAAGAGCACAGCACATGCACAGCCACCAGCTCCTGTCTGCCTGGAAGCAGCGCATGGGATGAGAGCCACAGCAGGAGGTGACCGCTCTGGCAGAAGAGCTCACCCCACACCCTGTTCCTCAAAGTGACCTTAAGTGTGAGAACACAAATTGTCCAAACTGAGACAGTACTTTTCCCCCAGTTACCAAATGCTCTGGCTCTCACCTAGCATGGGAAAAAAAAGTCTTTATTGAGATGGTCTTAGTTGTCCTTCCTCTCCTGCCAACAGCCCTGTATCATCTCTGACTCACTGGGTCCATACCCAGCCAGGGGTGATTATGGATCACGCAGGGTTTGGTTGCTGCCTGTGCTCGCTGCAGAGCTCTGAATCCATTGCACGGGGTCGTGGGGATCTGCTGGGATGAGTTTTCTTTGTCTTTGCTTTACAGATGGGTGGAAGATGTTGGGCCATGTTTCTCCTTTTGAATGCCAGGTAGAGATGACAGCAGCACTTCAATTTAGCTTGTCTTGCTCAACGTGCCAGGGCAGGGTTTAGCCTCGTGCTTTCCTCACACCATCGCTCACTGCTGTTCTAAATGGGCTGCAAGGAGACACAAAGGACAGGATAAAGGGGTACATCATTTTCCTGGAACCTCACGGACACAGTGTGTGATGTAGGAAAGGAAACGAGGGGCTGATCAGTGACCCAGCTGAATCAGCTTCTAAAAAGCAGTGTGAGCTGTACCTGGTTACTGTAGTCTGGCATCCTCCACGTCTGTGTAATGGCTGTTCTCCTGGAGGGGAAAGGGAAGCAGAGACAGGAGATCACCATGTGCCCATCCTGCCTTGCCTGAGACACCGTGCTGTGTCACATGCAGAGACCAGCTGGTTCCATGGTGGGCAGTCACCCCATGATGTGTGATTCCCTGCTTGGCGTTGAGGTCTGGCTTCTGCTGAAGCTCAAAGAGACTGGGATGAAATCAAGCCCACCTTCCTGTAGTGGTGTGAAATCTGGTGTCTGATCTATGCTGCTCCAGAGTCAGACCTCCAGTGGGAAAGCAGCATGTCCCTGGGGAAGGTTTTAAGCCCAAGGTGTAAGCTGCAAGTGATGAGCACTGATTGCTAAGTGAGCACTTGGACAGACCCCTGACTTTCACATGCTCAGCTAACCTGAGAATTAAGTAGCCACAGCATTTGTACAAAGTGGGCTTCACCATATGTCTTGACTTGTTTTAGCACTGTGAGAAGTTTATTTGGACCTGGGAATGGCCACACCTGTAAGCACAGACCTTGCAGTTCCAGGAACTGCACAGAGATGCTCAGGGGTGGCTGATCTGCAATGGCAAATGGGGAACATCACAAGGCCTGCTAGTGAACAGAGACACAGCACCAGTCTGCAGCACAGCTCGTCCTCCAGGGTAACACTCAGGCTATTCACCACTCCAGAGGCTGCAATGGCAGTGCAGTGTGCTGAACTGCTCCCCATATGAGAGTGGATTTGAAAATAAGGCATGTGAAAATTGCCTTCCTGGAGCTATTCTGCAATACGGCATCATTAAATGAATTAGGTGCTCAGCAGTAGTCTTTTATTTCATGAACTGAAAATGAACAGATGGAAATGGAGCCAGGAGATGTCTGCAAGTGATAACAGGTGATCCAGAAAGAAAGCAAGAGAGACCAGTCACAACCTGGTTAGCAGAAGGCACTGATGGAGGGAAATAGCCTTGTGCAATCAGGGAACTCAAGTGGGTGTTTACAGAGCCCCTGTGGGGGAAAAACTCTGAAGTGTGCAATGCATGAACAAGGAACAGCTGGAGACTGCGCCCAAAAGAGCTACGGATGGTGATTCCCAAGATGGGAAGCCTGGAGGCTTGTGAGTTCTGGCAGCAGAACAAAGGTTCCTTCTTTGTCTGCAGAGCTGCAGTTAGAAAGCAGGTGTAGTGCCCTGAAAACAGGCTCTTCAGGAAAACCAAGTCAGGTGGCACGTGCCCTGGGCAAAGGAAGGGCTCAAATGTGTGGAGATTTGCCTTGGAACAGGCATGAGAGCATGTGGCTGAGGATCAGGAGACAGAACAACTTATGTGACATCGTGGTGGGCACCTGGTGCATGCCACATGACACAAAACCTACTGGGGATGGCTGGAGGAAGCCTCCTGGCTTGCAGGCACTTGTACTCCTCATGAACCTGACCAACCTTTCCAATCTTCCGGAAAGTCAACAGGGCTGGGTGCAGGCAACCCCACAGATTTCTGGTGAACATCAAGAAAGCTTTCCTGATGCAGCTGACTGACAAGGGGTCAGCATGATGCTCTTCTGGACACGCAGCCCATGAACAAGGCAGATCCAGACAACAGTGTGAAGGTGGAAAGAAGTCTGGGCTGCAGTGGCAATAAGACAATGAAATTGAATTTCCTGGGAGAAATGACTAAGACAAACAACAGAATTGGACTTAAGAGAGCAGATTTGGGGTCTGTTGGGCAGAATCCCACAGGCAGCCTTTCTGTTGGCTCACAGAACACAGAGGAGCTGGGTCTCCTTCAAGACCACCTGCCTCAAAGCATGAGAACAGCCCGTACTGCTGTGTGGTTGGGCAGGCATGACAAGAGACCAGCAAGAATGCACAGCATAGGCCAAACCAAGCTTCTTCCTACAGAAAGAACAGAACCCAGAAGTGAAAGCAAGGCTGGGCCACTCGGGAAGAATACAGAGCTGTCACTCCAGCTAAGCTGAAAGTGTTAGGAAAGCCAAAAGCCTGGAGTTGGAACTGGTGAGGGATGTGAAGGGCAAAGAAGAAGAGCTTCTGTAGGTACACCAGCAGTAAAAGGAAAGCTAAGGAAAAATTAAGCCCTCTGCTCAGTGAAGCAGGGGACCCAATGACAAAGCTGATGGAAAAGGTCAATGTATTCAAGGGTCATTTTTTTCCCAGTTAACTGGTTAGGTCTGTCTTGTGCCCTCCCAGACCCCTGAGCCCAGTGGCAGTCTGTAAACTGAAGGCTGTAATCCAAAGACACGGGATGAAGAACTCACTCCCCAGGAGATGGAAAGACTTCAAAACTGCTCAGTGCTCTAAGGTCAGGAGCAAAATGTAAAGGATGGCCCTTGCGATTTGCCTTGCAGTGTTTAAGAAAACACCCCTGCAGACAAGTTCCACACATTAACCTGCTTCATGCTGAGCGCATCTGAGCCTGTCTGAAGTAGGCAGTAAAATATTTCTGAACTCCATGTCACTTTCAAATCAGAGAATAACAGAAAATAGAAGTGTTAGGGCCTGAAACAGTGCACTTGTTCACCCATCCCTGATAAGCTCTTCTTGAAGGAGATGGAGAGGGACTTCTTACAAAGTTATGTAGTGATAGGACAAGAGGTAATGGTTTTAAACAGGAAAAGAGTAGATTTAGATTAGATAAAAGGAAAAAAATGTTCATGATGAGGGTGGTGAGGTGCTGGCACAGGCTGCCCAGAGAAGCTGTAGATGCCCTATCAGGGCCAGGCTGGGTGGATGGGCAGCCTGATCTGGTGTGAGGTGTCCCTGCCCACAGCAAGAGGTTGGAGCTGGATGATCCTGAAGGTCTCTTTCAACCTCTGCCAATCCGTCATTCTATGATTCTTAAATCATTTCCAGTCTGTGTTCTTATCCCACGAATGGCAGCAAAGTCCATATTTTCTGTTGACAACCTGTGTGCCCTTTATCATCACAGTTTTTCAGTGAGTTTTCTCCTAATTTCTATCACTTGCTTCCTTTGATGTAAACCCGGCCTTCCTTATCCTAATGCACACAGAGAAGGAGGCCAGCTTTTGCCTTTCTTCCTTCTAGCAGTCTCTTACAATGTCTCCCTTTAATCATCTCTTCTCAGATTTAGCAGGGGTCACAGATTTCAGCAATGAGGCCCCTGAAACTGAAACAGTTGAAAGACCCCATTCAGACCCCATTCAGACCCCATTCAGATCCCTCATCCATCATGACTCCAGCAGTAGAGTGGAAGAGTGCAAACAGCTGGTCAGTGTCCTAAGCTTTTTGGCCATAGGTAGAATGAAATGGTATGTGATCAGCTCAGTGATGATGGGGTGAGGCAGAAGAAAGGGACAGTGATCTCCATCCTCACTTCTAGTGCCACCAGTGCTGTGTAGTGAGAAAGGCCGACAAAAATCTGCTCCCTAGGTTCACCAGTCCTTATTCGGGGCAGGACTAAAGCTGATGTGCACAAATCAGGCTAGCCACACTCAGAGGAAACTGCTGCCCTTGCTATGGTGCTCAGCATCACGCACAGAGGCCTGCTGAGACTTTATAACCACATTTCTGCTATTTGGTGTCCCTTGGACAAAGGGCGTTGCAAATCCATGCTGTTAGGAAAGTGCAGTTAACACAACATGGTCTGTCTTTAACACGTTTCCATTCATCTGAGACCCACTTCCTTTGGAACAAAGCAACTTAATTAAAACATTCATTAATTATTTTGAAATCAAAGATAAAAGTAGTCTGAATTTCAGAACCCAGCAGTGTTTCTGCAGCATTTACGAGGTCACAGCTTTTGCAAGCCGCAGAGCAGCTAGGAAGAACAAGCTGTGAACAATCATGGGATTAAAAAAATGGAAATAACAATTTCCTTCTGGGAGGAGAAAACATCCTGGGGGGGTTTAACGAGTTCTGGTAAAACTGCGGTCCCCTGCTTGGGGACACGCTAGCCAGCCTCTCTTACCAGTTCATCTTCACACTCATCCCGTGCAAGGCCCTCCTCCTCTCCCTCATCTCCATTCAGTGGCTCCTCTGTGTTGACCTCTGCCTCTGACGCTGTGTCTTCCTGTGAGACTTCGCTTTTGCTGCCATCCACCTTCTTCCGTACCTCTGTGAGAGCAAGAGCCAAGGCATCAGGATCAGGGGGTGATGGCTGCAGCCTGATCAGACTGATCCACAGGGCCCCAGGACTAAGTTGCTGTGTAAATAAAGGATTTAGGGTTTATTCTGCAATGGGAAGTTTTGCTAATTTTGAAGGAGCTGCTAGAAAACAGCAGAGCTGGCCGCCCTTCTGCATCCCTCTGAGTGAGTGTGGGAAGCAGAAGTAACCCAAACAATAATCCAAATGGAATAAAATCAAACTGTGCTGTAGAAGAAAAAAACCTCCCATTCTATAATTGGAGGGGGTTGGGTGTGTGATTTTGGCAGCCCCTATTAATTGGCAGCACAGAAGTTTTTTTTGACCACTTATTTTGCTGAGATGCTTCAATGCCCTCTGATACTTCCGTGCTGTTTTCTCCTTCTTCTAAACACTGAGAAGAACAAACCAGTGTTTCCACTGAAACACGATCCATATTTCAACTCTGAATTTCAGTTTTGAGAGAAGAACAAAGTACCTTTGCAAAGCAGCAACTTCTCCAAGAAACTGCTGAGGGCCTGGAGCTGAGAATTTAATGACAAATAGAATTTTAAACTCCTTAGGGCTGGGACTTCTGTCTTGTTTGTTAGCATAGCACCCTACGTGCTTGGGGGCTACAGAAACCTCTTGTTCTGTGTCTGAGGGACCTCCCCACCTGGAACCCAGGAGAGATACTTCAATGTCAGTGCTCAGAATATGTTACAAGCCACAATGGCTTTGCAGAGCAGCTCTGACATGGTCTTTGCCCATCCTCAAGCAGCACCCCAGGCCCCAGCACACACCCAACTGACCTGTGGACTGTTTCTGTTCCTCAGCAATCTGCTCCAGCCGGCCCAGCAGAGCATCGATGTTGGATTTGATCTGTGTCAGCTCAGTTTTGATGGTTTGAAGCTCACTGCACTTCACTTGGAAGGAAAAGACAGAGAGGTGTCAGCCAGCATGGGCTTGGCTGAAATGGGAGCACAGCCTTTGCTGCACTGGGGCCTCTCACAGAATCATAGAATCATTAAGGTTGGGAATGACCCTAAGGTCTTCTAGTCCAACCCCAGTCCATCCCCACCGTGCCCACTGACCACAGCCCTCAGTGCCACATCAAACCTCTTCCTGAACACCTCCAGGGATGGTGACTCCACCACCTCCCTGGGCAGCCTGTGCCAGTGCATTACCCGCCTTCCTGAGAATTATTTCCTAATATCCAACCTGAACCTCCCCTGGTGCAAGTGGAGGCCATTCCCTCTCATCCTATTGCTGTTACCTGAGAGCAGAAACTGATCCCCATCTCACCACAACCTCCTTTCAGGGAACTGTAGGGAACTATTATGTCTCCCCTGAGCCTCTTTCAGACTGAACAATCCCAGCTCTCTCAGCCGCTCCCATAAGACTTGTGCTTCAGACCCCTCACAGCTCCACTGCCCCTCTCTGGTCACACTCCATGACCTCAGTGTCTTTCCTGCCCTGAGGAGCTGTCTTAGTTTCAGTTGGGACAGATTTGCTTTTCTCCACAGTGTCTGGAATGATGCTGTGTTTTGGTTTTAAGAGAAAAACAATGTTGATAATGCAAGTTGTTGCTGAGCAGTGCTATACATAGCCAAGGACATTTCAGTTTTCTCAGTTTCTCCTACTGTCCTATCAACGAGGGAGGGCACGAGGAGCTGGAAGGGGATAGAAACAGGACAGCTGACTTAAACTGGCCAAAGGGATACTCCCATACCATACAACATCCCGCATGGGGCAGGAGCTGGCACTTGGATGTGCCATCACTCCAACTGTGGCATAGGTGAGGATCCACCCTTGTGGATTACACCTTCTGTTTACACCTTCTCCCGCCGCATCTGCAACTCGTGGGCTTCTGAAAAGCCCTCCCTATGTTGCTGGTTGCAGGTGTTTTGGGGTTTTGCAGGTTTTGCCCCGGGAGCACCCAGCCCCGTGGGTGCCCGGCTGGAGGCTGGGGGCCGTGTTGTAGATGGCAGGAGCAGGCCCTGCTCTGCACACACATACTCACACTTCAGCTTGGCCGAGCTGTTGGCAATGGCAGCCGATCTAGCGAAGAGCTTGACAGGGAGAGTTGCCTTCACACGCCGGACGAGGGGGATGGTGACCCGCGGCCGCTTCACTGGAACCACCCTGGGCACCGGAGACACCCGGCCCCGGTACTCAAAGAGCCTGCAGGGATACGGGGGAAGCAGGAGCTGAAGCACCACAGCCCGGGCCCTGGCAGGTCAGACCGTCGGGTGCTGCTGCCAGGACCCATGCCTGCCCCTCACAACTCACATAAATGCCCCTTCGGCTGCAGCCTCCCCGGCTCACCTGTCGTAGAAATCGTCTCTGTAATAGTCATAGTCGAAGTCATAGCCGCTGCAGGAAGAAGCAGGATGACACAGGTTAATTACTACTGATGAGGTATTCCTACAGCCACCACCCACCCCATTCACGGAGCCGATGGCCACGGGGTCGTGCAGCACACAGGGGGTGATGTTGGGTGAAGCTGGGGCTGCCCGAGGGAGAAGCAAGAAGTGCAGATGGGTTAACATCTACAGAAAGGGGCTGGGGGCAATTGTCCATGCACACGCTGCGAGGATGCCATGTTCCAAACAAAGACCAAGTCCCAGAGCAGGGGCAGCCCTCCAGCACCAGCTCACTGGGCAGAGGAGCTCCAAACATGGCTGAGGGGCTGTGTTTGTACTGCACTGGTTTACCTGCTCCCAGGGCACTGCTGACATCCCTCCCTCCTGCACTTTGTATGCTTGGACTGCATCCACATCAGCCCTACCTGCCCTGCTGCTACCCTGCTACGATTCTTGTTCTTATCATATACAATTGGTAGGGAAGAAGTCAAGAAGAAGGTGATTTTTATTCATTTAACATCTTTGCTATTGAGGATGTTTTAAGTTCCCCCCACACAGCAAGATCCTCCCCACATCCTGTGTGCTGCTGCCTGGATTACTGCTGGTTGCATGAGAAGCTGTGCTGCTGTGAAGAAAGAGAATGGTTACTGCAGCCCTTGAAAGCAAAAGGTGTGTAGTGAAACCATAAAGTACTAATAGGAACAAGATGATACTGGGAAGAGGGAAGAGTGAGCACTCAAGTATGTAGCCTGGGAGTAAATGTGGAGTCCTGCATTGTAAGGAAGCAGTGACACAAAGGATGGGTGGCTGGCCAAGGTGGCTGCTGGACAGCATGGTTCAGCCTTAACCCAGGGCATCTGTGCTGGCATTGGCCATTCTACCTTGTGCTTTGGTTTGGCACCCTCCCCTTCTGACCTGTCTTGAAGACACCATGCCTGCTGGCCGCACAGCAGCCTCGCATCCAAAACCCTGCGTGGTCTGTATTTATTCTCTCTCGTGCTTTTCACAGCTGAAAGGCAAAGGTAATTCCTACTGCATCAACTCTTGCTGGAATATAACCAGCCTGTTCGTATGGAAAGAGAAGATGTATTTTTTCAAGACCAATAACTTTATTTCCATTCAGCCCTGGGATGAAGCCTGAAAATACAGAAGATCTCCAAGAACAACAGCTGCCCTCGGCTCTCCAGTCTATTTTGATCACTAGGCATGTTTGACTCCAATTCTGTTTGAATCCAATAAACACAGAATAGAATCAAAATAGGATGTCATTTGAAAGGAAAATTGAATGAGGATTCTTCTATGCTGTCAGACTCCCACGCTTCCTTTCTTTTTCTTTCTTTAGCTGCAACTTAAATGAAATTGCTACAATTCTGTGACATTCATCAGATCTGACAGGTTCAGGTGAAATGCTCCTGACTAGCCCCAGCAAGGCTCTCTGTACCCATGGGCAGGAGAGGATACTGGGGACCTCACTATGCAGCTTAAGGACTCTGGAGGGGGAGGAATCAGGACCATCTCTTGTTGGGAAGCACTTGGAGGTCATGAAGCAACTTGAGACCATTTCCTGATGAGCAACTCAAATAGGGGGCATTTGGCACAACTCAGAAATACCCTCACTGCTTTCTTCTCACCCGTATCATGTGTGAGGTGATGGATCTGAGCTGGCTTTTCTCCAGACCTTTGCTCCCCACCAGCAGATCCACGGGCTCAGAGCAGGGTTTGCTTGCAGCATGCTCCATGTGTAGGACGTGGGGTCCAGGGCCACCTACTAATTTTTTGGGGGTGGAAAGCCAGGATGAGGGGAATCATCCAGCTCTGACCCCAAATATTCTTTAATTAATTTCCAAAAGGAAGTAGATGCTTAATTATCCTGGAGAGCTGGTTCTGACTTCCCCCCAAAACAGTGGGATGTGTCTTGTTTAGCTTCAGCCAGCAGGAATGTAAACACATCCCAACACATCCAAGCAAGAGGCAATTCCAGGCCATGGCTCATCACAGCCAAAGGCAGACAGCTGAAGTAATGTCAAGCGAACTGCAGTGAGAAGTTTTTTTTTTAATCCAGCAAGCACAAAGGGAGTCCAGACAACCAGACCCCATGAAAGCCCCAACAGAGTGGAGGGCTGAATGTGTGTGAGAGGAGTCTGCCTCTGACTCAGTGTGGTGAGAGATGGCAAACACTCTGACCTCAGCTTCTTTCATACCTGGAAATCACAATACAGCCCTCCAGGAATGCAGAGGGCTCAAATGAGGGTTTTTTTGAAGTCTGAAACCTGCTGTAACACGCCATGCAGGTCATGGCCAGTCCTGCAGGAGGTTGTGGGAGGAGGGAGGCAGTGCTGGATGCTCTTACCAGCTGCCTTAGAAGTCAGGCGTGGAGCAAAGGGCAACTCTTCCAACATGAGAATAGAAAAATGCCAGTAAAAAGTCTTAGCTTCAGTGATTTATCTGAAATGTGCACACCTGATAATTTCCCTGCACGTAGGATAAACCTTCCTGCAGTAGATGAATCATTACTCAGTGACCTGACAGGGCTTCCTTTATGTACGTGAATAATTTTTGCCATTTTTCAATCAGTTGGTGACACTGTGCCCTTTAAAATGAAAGCAGGGACAATCAGAGAGAGAGGCAGCAGAATCCTGTAAGGCCATGTCAAGCAGCATGACTCCTGATGCATTTTCCTTCTACATCGCTATTCTTGAGCAATTAAATAACATTTAGTAATGACTCACAAAGGTGCAGAACCCACACTCTTCTAATTGAAGGGCAATTGTTTTTAGGTGCTGAATTTACATTACATTTGAGGTGCCATTTCTGAGCATGGACCTGAATAGCAACGTGAAGCTGAGTGACTGTGCTTTTAATTACCTGGGCCGATCGTCACAAGCAACACGTTGTGCTCAGCTTCCACCCTTCTACTAACAATTGCACAGCCTTAATTAGTGCAGCAGTAGAAATAACATCTACTGGAAAGCTACTTGGAAAATCTGGCCATGGTTGGAGAGTTTTTAAAGCTCTGCACATCGGGAGTGAGGTTCTTTCCTCCTGCGACTAGCTGGGAAGTTGGGAGAGAAATGCTGGAAGTGAGCCCAGCACTTCTGAGACACTGGGGCTGCAGAAGGGCTGCACAAGTCCTCACCAGTGCTGGACCCCATGGGTACCGTTGTCCACCTCTACTCTTCCCTGGGGCTGTTTCTCAGCCCTGTGCTGGCAAATCTGGCACCAAGGGGCATAGGGTGTCACTCTCTGCTTGATTGGAGGTGGTGTGACTGCAGCTTTTGGGCTGCAATGGGTACAATAAGGGATGTGGATGCCAGCTGGGCTGAAGGACATTGTCCAGATGTGACCACAGGCTGTGGAAATGGCAGTGGAGGTCTGTGCCCATCACGCTGTGTGGTTCCTGCAGGACTCAGGTTGTCCCAAGGCTGCCTGTCCTTTTAGCACCAACATCACTCGGAAGGACAGAGGTCTGTGGTCAGTACAGCTCTGTCTGCTTCAATGCCCTGCAGCAGGAACCTGGGCAGAACAGTGATGGCAGCAAAGTTTTCCACTGTCTGTCTGTCTGGCTTTTGCAAAGGCACTTCCAAAAACTGATGATGGTGTAAACCTCGGGTTATGTTCTACCTTCTGGAGGTGGATGGTCACAAAAAATCAAGATTTTTGCTTCCTTTAGTCCAAAATGAGATATCCTTTGTCTTGCCTTCCCTAATACTTGCCTCTCTCATGCACACTTGGAGCTAGGCAAAGTAAAACCCAACCACTGAAAAAATAATCTTGTGTGTTTAACACAGCATTTCTATAAATTACTGTGCTGCGATTTTTGAAGTCTAACATTCAGAAAAATTTACAATGGTTAGGAAATGCTATAACCACAGCTCACTGCAAACCTGGGTTCCTGGCTTTCCACGAGATAGCATAAGCACTGCTAGTCCAGATGGCAAAGTTTAAATCTGTCATCAACCTGGGATGAAATACTGCTGAAGCTCAGAGCAGTCTATGGCCCATATTTTAACACATCCATATCTGTGAGAGGAAGCAAATATCTCTCTCTTCAGCTACATGGCAGCCCGGAAGGCTGAAACACTGATCATTTCAACAGAGAATTAGTGGTCAAGGCAGAGATGAAGAGTAAATGCTGACAAAGAAATGCTCTATCATCTAATATATGGAACGAATGATTTGCATTATGGCACCATGCAAGTTGTATGTGTTCAACTACATAGAAGGATTTGTGTCATCTCCATTTCCATACAACAGTGGAGATGATGCACAGATGTACATTTTCTTCCTGCAAAACCAGAAGGCTGTGGCTAAGGGCCAAGCTGGGTTAAATCTACACTAAGACTCTTGGAGCAATTTGGAAGCAGTTTGCTCCCCTGGTGCAACCTGAGGACATTCCCTCTTATCCTATTGCTGTTACCTGGGAGCAGAGGCTGAGCCCCATTTCACCACAACCTCCTTTCTGGGAGTTACAGAGGGTGATGAGGTCTCCCTTGAACCTCCTCTTCTCCAGACTGAACAATCCCAGTTCCCTCAGCTGCTTTCCATAACACTTGTGCTCTGGACCCCTCACAGCTTCAATGCCCTTCTCTGGACATATTCCAGGGCCTCAATGTCTTTCTTGTAGCGAGGGGTCCAACACAGCACAGCAGTCAAAGTGAAGCCTCACCAGTGCTGGGTACAGGGGGACGATCACCTCCTGCTGGCTGCACCATTTCTGACACAAACCAGGATGCTGTTGGCCTTCTTGGTCACCTGGGCACACTGCTGTCTCGTGTTCAGCCAGTTGTCAGCTAACATCCCCAGGTCCTTTTCCCTCTGCACAGCTTTCCACCCACTCTACCCCATGCCTGTAGTGGGGTTGTTGTGACCACAATGCAGGACTCAGCACTTATTCTCACTGAACTTCATCCCATTGGCCTCAGTCCATCCATCAGCCTGTCCAGACCCCTCTGTAGGGCCTTCCTACCCCCAGGCACTTTTCCCCACCTTGGTATCATCTGCAAACTTACTGAGAGTGCGCTCAATTTGCACATCCAAATCATCAATAAAGATACTGAACAATACCAATACTGACCCCTGGGGAACAACACTTGTGACCGGTCACCAGCTGGATGTAACTCCATTCACCACCACTCTCTGGGACCAGCAATCCAGACAGTGTCTCACCCAGCAAAGAGTGTAACTGAGCCACGGACTGCCAGCTTCTCCAAAAGACAGTGGGTGACAGTGACAAAAGGCTTTGCTGCAGTCTATACAGGCTACATGCACAGCCTTTCTCTCATCCACCATGCAGGTCACCTGGTCACAGAAGGACATCAGGTTGGCCAAACAAGAACAGGACCTGCCTTTTGTAAACTTATGCTGCCTCAGGCTGATCCCCCAGTTGTCCTGCACATGTTGTGTGGTCTCACTCAAGATGAACTATTCTATAACCATGCCTGGCACTGAGGTCAGGCTGACGGGCCTGTAGGTCCCCAGATCCTTCTTATAACCCTTCTTACAGCTGAGTGTCACATTAGCAGGTCTCTGGTCATCTGGGACCTCTCCAGTTGACCAGAACTGCTGATAGATGGTGAAACACAGCTTGGCAATCACCTCTGCCAGCTCCCTCAGCACCCTCAGGTGGACCCCATCTGGCCCCATGGACTTGTGATAGTCCGTGTGGAGCAGCAGGTCTGCGCCGGTGATGCTGCTCCCTTTCCCAGCATCACCTTCCTGGCCAGACCTATGAGCCAAAGCAGGGGGAAAAGCAGGGGAGAACATGCTGGCTGGGGAAGGGAGGGAGAATTTGTCTTGTGAATGCTGCAAAGAACTGAGCTGTGAGGCTCAGGGAAGGTCTCGGCAGATGCCTTGGGGGTGGTGGTGGGTGGGTTTCTGAAGCTCTGGTGGGTTTAGCTACGTCAGCAGCACACTGCACTGCTAAGTTTTGCCATTTACTAGCACTGTGCTATTGGACTGAGTCTGAATCGTAGTTTTTTCACTTCTCTTCATCCCTCACTTCTTTTCTTCTCAGAGAAAAACCCACAGTTCTCTCATGATTTTCTCTTGTTGCAACATGCACCTATAGCACTGATACTCATTTCATTCGTGTATTCCCAACATCACACTTTCTAAATATTGACTTAGTGCCCTAGTCTCCATGTGAATACAATCACTTAAATTTATAAATAAAACACATTTTGGGATCTTGTTATTTGTTTTTGGGTTCTTAAACCTTCAAGGTGCTCTCAAAATACCTTTTCAGATTTTTCTTTCTGCAACCTCAGGAGCAGGAACGTGAGCTTCTCCCACACTCAGACTGTGGGGCTTCAATGAAAATCATCAGTTATCACGAGAATCATAATGAAGTCTCTGGAGTTGGCACTGAAAACTCACTCTGACATCTGTAACACCCTACATCTCCCATAGACCTACCCCATGTCCCACTTGTTCCTTATGCCCCCATGCTCGGCATCCTCTTCACTGCTCTGAATCACTGGCTCCCTTGGGACTTCCCCTGATTATCTCCTTGGTCACCTCCTCATTGATCTGATGACTTCCTACACCGTTTTTGGGTCAGGCCATTCTCAGGTGGAGTCTCACAACAAAGGCCTTGGCCAGCCCTGGGTCTGCCATTGATTTGACCCTTAAGCCCAGCCCTGAGTGGGGTTGCAAGGGCCAGGCTCAGGAAAGGCCATGGGAGGAGAAAGTCTGACAAGACAGGAATGGCCTGGTTGCCTGGGGCAGGCATCAGGGAGATCAGGGCAGCAGTTTCAGGGAAATACCAGCCCAAAGAGCTTGGGCTGGGAGGTTCGTGGTGACCTACCTGTATAATGTGGAGGCTGCTCTCTTCAGCCCCTTAGGTCTGTTAGGTTTAGGTTCCCCAGCCATGTTGATATCTGCAACAAACAAAGTCACAACATTACCTTGTGTGCCCATGAGAACTGGGAGTGAGGCACAGCCCCACTGCACTCTGCTGGGATAGACCTGCTGCACTCCTGCCTTCCTTCAGCTGGTCCCTGCTGGACCTTCACAGGAAGGCAAATGTTTTCCTCTTGCTCTACACAGATACAAAACACTCATTTTCAAAGTCAGTGCCTCTGGACACGCTCAAACCCATGTACACAAATTCAGGGCAGGCCTCCCAGGGGAGCACAGTGCTGTTATGATAAGGCACAGAATACAGAAAACTGCCAGTAGTTCCAATTTATTCCTTGCTCCTTCTAGAATAAAAATGAGTGTTAAGCACAAGCCACAAGTTGCTTTAGACTGGGATGCATTAAAAAGTGCATGAAGTGTAGGGGCATGCACCCAATTGATCTCTTCGATACATCTTTGATGAAGGGCAGGGAGAACGGGTTGCTCTAATCTGTGGAGGAAATTTCTCTCCTCAGTCTCACTGCCAAACATATTTTTGATGTGGGAATAAAGTGATAGAGCCAATTTCATGGAGATAGCCAAGAGCCAGGCAAGCCAGCACCAAGAGTGACCATAAGTCTGTCTAGATGCTTCTGGACACTGCAAATCATAGGATCTTTTGAGTTGGAAGGGATATTTAAAGATCATCTGGTCCAACTCCCACGCAATGAACAACGACATCTATATCTTGATCAGGCTGCTCAGAGCCTCCAGCTTGACCCTGAATGTCTACAGGGACGGGCCATCCACCACCTCTCTGGGCAGCCTGTGACAGTGCCTTACCACCATCTTTTTCCTTATATCCAATCTAAATCTTCCCTCTTTTAGTCTGAAATCCTATTATCTTGTCCTGTCACAACAGCCTGAGTCACTGGAGGTTTCTTCTGGCAGGGATAGGAAAGGACAACTGCAGCCATCTGGGTGTGCATTACTATCTTGCTTCTGGAGTTGGAAATGAATTGCAGTTATTTGCTCAGTGGCTGTAGCTCCCTTCATCAGCTGGGCACAAGACTTGTGCTCAACATCACGTGCATGCTCTAGAAATGTGTTCCTTGCAAGCAAAGGGACCACTACCCATGGTGGCCATGCTGTGTGCTGGCACGGGGACACGTTCCGATCAAAATGCCTCCTTTCATTGCTGCCTTTCACTCTCCACCCTTCCATATTCAGCTGCTAACGGAAATGTAGAAGAATGCTGAGCCTGAACATGAATCTGAACAGGACAGCTCTGTGGATGGCTGCTGCCAACATGGATGTCTTTCCATTTTGGAACATCACAATGCCTTTGGCAATGCTACAGAGGAAGAGAGGAATAAATTCTTCCATGGTGCATCCCAGAGCACAACCCTGCTCAGCTCCAGTTCTCCTGCTGTGAACCCATTCTGCTGTCATGGTGCATCTTGCAAACTGCCAGTCACTTTTCCTGCAAAACGGAGAGCAACTGACAGCATCATGCTGACTGACACCCTTCCAGGGAGATGCAACGAAAGCCGAGTGGTGGATAATGTGGATAATGACAACAATTAGCTCAATTTGCTGGTACACGCTGCTAGAAATAGCACCACAGAGCCTTCACTGCGGTGTGCAGTCAGAGTAGGAAATTTGTACTTTCGACCTGCAGCAGTGATGAGCCGTCAGAACCCCCAGGACTCCCTTGTCAATGAACACAGAAAGATAAGAGCTCAGCATGCACATCAGCCTGGACACATTTTGTATCCCATTTCCATTCTGGCTCCCTACTCCTCATCACTGAATCCATTTGCTCAGACCATGGTATATATCCCCCCCTGCCCATAACCAGGTGTCTCTTCCTGCACGAAATGAGGAGGTTGTTCTTTGTCTAGCAAAGATGTCAGGGACAGGTTACTGGTGTGGATCCAGCCTGAAGTGCAGAGCTCTTGCACTGAAGTGGTGATGGCCTCCTGCAATGACTGGATTTTCTAAAAGCCTCTACAGAAAGCACAGTGGTAGCCAGGACCTGCCTGGCAGAGCAGTCCATGACCCAGTGAGGGATGGGCTGCAGACATGGCTTCCTCAGTTTAATGATGCATTCAGTATCTTGCTGATCAGTTAAAATGCAAGTCTGACAGTTTACATGTCTGCTGATAAAGGAAGAAAAATAAGAAAAGATGGAATAAAATGCAATTAGGACATCCAGATAGAGAACTGATCTTATGAAGAAGATGCCAGATAGAAAGACGAGCTGCTGCCTTGCTCAAGCTAAGGCCTGGCATGCAGGAGTGGCTCTGGATTTGGATGCCCTGCTACACAACTCCTGCTGGCACTGGGACATGTTGCCCTGCACTACTGCAAGCTGCTGCCTCCCAGCAGGTTGGAGGTGCTTTCCCCCTTCACCAGCTGCTGCCCACAGTGCATGGGTGGTAATTCCCTGGGAGCTCCTGCCATCCAGAATGCAGCTGTAGGCCTGAAGAGCACTGGTTTACTGCTCTTCCTATAATCCTATACTGCTTGCATGTGCAACCAGCTGAAGTTACTGCATGGAGCTGGAAAGGGACACTGGCTCCAGCCACCACACTCCAGGTGCTTAGAGGACTGGACATTATAGTCTGAGACTTACATTCAGAATGCTGCTTTTGAAGCCTGACAGTACTGGTTGTACCTGCAAGTTTTGTTTGGAAGATGGTAGCATGTCCCTCCAAGCCCTGCCCATGCACTGAGGCAGGGACAGCCTCACCAGCAACACGCCTACCATGCCCATACCTGTCCCATCCCTTTCTTTCCCTCCACTTCAGTACAGCCCACGTGGCCGTGAAGCCACGTTTTTGTAGGGGCCTTCTTTTTCTGTGCAGGCATTTTCTAGTCACACTGTACAGCATCTTTACCTCTTCCTCTCTGCTGGGTTCCATTGAAAGAGAAGCAAATCCACATTTGTACTGGGCCATGAGTATTATAGGAAAGCATGCTGAACTCTTCTGTGTGAGACTTGATCATGAAGAGAAGGCAAATGAAAGGGAACTGAATACCTCCTCCAGTGTGTGTGCAGTTCTCACAGCTGTAGCATGGTTCTTTTGCCTTGCTGGCATGGCAGACCTCTAGGACCAGCACCAATAGGACAGTAAACAGTTCCAATCACAATACCTTTTTATAGGCATCTCTCTTAAGCAAAGTGGCTGGCCGCCCTTCTCTTAGCTGCACCTCTGACAGCAGTGCCAGCATGAGCTCCTCTGCTCCCCAGCACCTTGCTCGTCATTTCTATCAATGATGCAAACATGTGGGCAACATCTGGGCTGCAGCAACCCTGGCACACTGCAGCTCAGCTCTGCTTTGTGTTGACAGCAAGAGAAGTGAAGAAAAGTTTCTGTATTTGAATAAACCATGGATGGAAACAGCACAGTGGCTTAAAGACATGACTTAGAGCAGAACTTCCTATTTCTGACTGCTGTGCTGGCAGCAGAGTGGGAATGGGTTGCAAATTGCTCCCCTGTGTGTCCAATGGCCACTGCTTGCAGCAGACTTGGAAATAACAATTTTTCATTAAGAACACTGCCTTCAGTTCCAATTCTCAGCTTAGAGCTGGTGACAAAGGCTTCTCAGCATGTGACACTTCAGAGCAATCTGCAAAACAAGGATGCAGCTGGGAGCAGCTGGGGTGGTTTTGTTTGTTATTTCTTATCACACAGCAGTGCAGACAAGAGACTTTCACATATCTGGTGGGGGGAGAGTTATCTCATTTAACATCAGCTGGCTGAAGCTGGTCTGAGACAGTCCAAGTTAGATTATCACCTCTCTTGAAAGGCAATGCTAAGGCTGGTACCTTGGTACCTCCATCCCAACCTCAACCAGGTGTCTCAGACTCAAACACAGAGAAGCTCATCTCTGCTGATCACAGACAATGTCCATGTGATCAGAAATGGTGAGACACTTGACTTCTGGATGGTGAAAAAAATAGGAGATCAAGTCCTCTGGTAGTGCTGAGGGAAGCCATTCAGGTGATGAGCTGCTGTTATTTCAGTCCAATACTTCATTTCAGGATGCCACTTTTTCTATCGAGAGTCCCCTCTGCCTCTACAAAGTCCAGGCAGTGCTGTGGTCACAGCCCTGAGTGCACTAATATAACTGGATGGCTATGCTTAGCCTCACTGCTGATCTGTAGGACAGCTCTGATGCTGGTCTCCAGCACTGTCACAGCCATGCCTGTGCCTGGATATGGACCCTGCTGTTCCTGCCCCATGGACCAACATGCTCCCAGGCCAGTCTCATCACGATGGCCCTGCTGGCTCATCAGTGGGCTGTGTCTAATCCATTCACCATCCCTAAACCTGACCCTGACTTACAGATCAATGCTGCAGCCTGATCTTGGCCCAGCCATGCCCTGACTACCCTTTAGGGGGCAGCTGGCCCCTGTTGCACCTGGGCACATAGAACACCTGGACAAAAGACTTACCCAGTGTCTGGCCTGCAAGCACGCGTCCGTTCTCACCCAGCACGGCGGCACGAGCGTGCCTTTCGTTGGAGTACTGTACGAAGGCATAGCCCTTGTGAACGGAGCAGCCCACCACGCGGCCGTACTTGGAGAAAATGGTCTCCACATCTGACTTCTTGACCACAGCTGTGTTGAGATTGCCGATGAAGACTCTGGAGTTGATGGACTTGGGGTCATTCTTGTTCGTTATGTTGCTCGTCTGCACCTTCAATGACATCTTGAACACCTGAATGAATAAATCAGGAGTCAGGAAGGTGTGCAAGGGAATTACCCAAGTCTTACAAAAAGGGGAGGGGGAAAAGGGTTCCAGCAAGGCTGGAGCAAAGGCACCAGCTCCCCAACTACAGCTAGCCTCTGGAGACCCCTCTGTGCTGGGTAGGGGCTGCTGCCTCCAGCACAAAGTTCAGCAGAAATGCATTTATCAGGCTGACTCTACGTGTATGCTGGCTGCTTCCCAGGCACAAAATAGTATTTAAATAGATTTTACATCCAAATAAAAGCTTTAATGCAATTAAAATAAAGTTTTTACCTGTCTATACTTAATTAGAGTTCAAGGACTGCTCTTTTTAGAGCAGTTTGCATTCAGCACTTTTGCTCATGCCCACCTCCTGGGCTTCCCCACAGGTTCCCCTGACAGAGGCTGGCTCTCCCCATGCACAAGGACAACCTGGACCCTGCAGATCTGCATCTGCAGATAGAAGAAGGCTTCATTTTTCTGGAAGCAAGCAATGAAATTTACGTGGTGAAGGAAACACTGTGCTTCTAGCTGATATCGGCTCTCTAGCATTGCTGGGCTTTGAGCTGCATTCTGAGCTAACAGGAGATGTCACTGTTTGCTTGGGAATCATAAGCAGGCACTGCAGCCCGCCACCACCACAGCTGCAAGGCACGATCCTCCCGGGTCCTCACCTGGGGTATCTCATGGGCAGTCCCTAGGAAGGATCAGGGCTAGGAACTGTATTAAATTAAATTTAGTCTTGCTGATATCAGGCAGCTTGCTCTTATTTATGCAACAAAACCTGCAGCTGTCCAAAGATATTGGTTTGATTTTCATCTTCCAAAAAAAAAGAGGGTCTGTCTGGGGCTCATTACTGTGTGCTGCACACATACAATGTGATATTTACCCAGGAGCAGTCAGTGCAGAGCTGTGGGAGCTGTTTTACAACGCACATGGTTGGTGCTGCTCTTCCCCAGGTCTTCTCCATGGCTATGGCAGAGCACCCTGGCCCCTGTCAGGTACTCCAACATCTTCCTGAGCACTGCTAGGGATGAAGTCCAGCCAGCTTTGGGGCTTCAGCTCTCCATCTCTGTCTGGGCAGTCTGGCCTGGGATGGGTGGCAGCTCCCTGGCTGCATGGGGCAGCTCTCTGTGATCCCCAAGTCCTGGGGGCTCTGCCCACCTGCAGCCCAGCCTGAAAAAATTCTGTCCTCACTGACAGAATCATTTCCCGACATATTTTTTGGGGTTGTGGCAAGACTTTCAAAGAGCCAAAGTCCCCTTTCCCCTTCTTGTTATCCAGGGTTGGTGAGGGCCTGGCACTGCTTCCCAGAGCCGTGGGTGCCCCATCCCTAGAGGTGACCAAGGCCATGGAGGGGCCCTGGGCAGCCTGAGCTGGGGGGCAGCCAGCACACAGCAGGGGATGGGGCTGAATGTATTTCCATACACAGAGGCAAGCATCAACACCTCAGGGCTTGTCACCATGAGCTGTCTGTTTCCAGGGTTTGCAATAGCCGAGGAACGCGGCCTGGCTCCATAGCAAGGGCCTGCAGCCTGACCCATGCAAACAGGAGATGTTTAACACTGATTGTAGTCAATGAGCTCTATATGGACAAGTCACAACTGCCAGCCTTCAGCCTTTTTAATTTTCAGAGCATGAAAGTCAGGGTACTCAGCTCCTTCATGGTCTGAAGTCTATCTGTGTGTAGCAGTGGAGTTAGGCCTGAGTGGGCTTCATGGTGCCGCAGTGTCTTACCCAGCACTCAGCCCTGAGTTCCCAGCCCATGTGAACACCCACCATGATCCAACATGCTGGCACAGCACTTGCTTGAGAAACCCTCAGAAACTTATGGTGCCTTTAGGACCCACTGTCCAAATCCAGGTCTCTCTGCCTCTGCATGATTTCCCTGTGGCAGCATCCCCAAAGCTGCCCTCATCTGGGCTGTGCTTCCATGAATGGATGTTTCTATCTCCCAGCTTTCATGCTGAACAAATTAAAATATAATCCTGTTTCCTGCTTAGGGAAAACCCTAAAGCTGCTGTTAGCCCAAACACTTCCCAAATTGTAGCATGCCCATGAGAGTATTATTTATACTGCTCTGATTTCTGACCAGCTGTTTGCAGCTGTAAATACCAATTACATCAGTGTGCTGAGCTCTTTAAGCCTGTGTGGGAGGGATGTGGGTTAAGCTGTTTCCATGCTATGTGCAGAACACAAAGGTCTGGCTGGAAGATTCGGGTAAATCAAGGGCTTTTCCCCCAAAATTAAAGGGCTGCCTGTTCTCAGCAAGTGCATCATGACCCAGCTCTGCTGTTGCCAAGGGATCTGGTTCACTTTGTGTGTTTTCTTTAAAAGTAAAAGAGCTGGATGAGGATGCTTCCCAGGTGGGCACTCAGGTACCAGATGAATCTTCACTTTGAGAATAAATAAATTACCAGCAGCAATCCCTCCACCCCCCCTCCCCTCCTCCTCCACTTCACCTTCAATCATCATTAGGATGGACAAGTTACAAGGAATGACACCCCTCTGACAACACCTTAATGAAGGTGGGACACAAATTCCCTCTTTTACAGATGGGTTACCAAGGGGCTTGCCAGCTAACACAATGACTTCAGAAGAGACCCCTGAAGTCCTGGCAGGAGTTCATCCTGCACAAAGCTACCAGCTCCCTGCTTTGCATGGACCTCTCTGAGGTGGGGATAGGATTCCTGCTCCCAAGCTAGGACCTGAAGCCTTCAGCCTGAATTCCTTGAGCTCCTTCCTCACCCTGACCAATGGTAACGACTCCCCAGAGAGTGCTGGTGGGGAGCAGGACATCTCCCATGGCACCCCTAAGGTACCATCTGAGAGATAGGTGCCATGTGGAGTGCTGCCTGCCCCCAGGTTCCATCTCCCACCTCACATCTTTCTTGTCCAGCTCCGGATATGGCACCTGCAGGTGCTTCCCTTATGGTTTCTGCTGCAAAAAGAGCTGTGCCTGGTGGCTTGTCAGTGATGGGATGGTGGCTCTGGGTGACAAACTCCAGGTCAGGCCAGCTGATGGCCACACCACTAGGCAAGACTTGGGAGGAAGCCATTGAGGACCAGAGGTCCTAAGTGCCATCTGCCCACTGACTGCTGCACCTCTCCCTGTTGTTACAGAGATGGGAGCCACAGCCTCAACCATTAGATCTGTGAGCACTTGTCCAGGCTGAGACTTCAGCCCCACCAGCAACATCCTCCATCTAACAGACCAGTGCCAAGCACTTTTCTGCTATCCTCACACACTGCTGGCTTTCCTGGAGAAAACAGCCCCCTTTCCACCCAGTTAATTCCCGTTGTCTTCTTGCACACAATACTCATTTTGCATCACTTCTTGCTATCCTTACCGTAACAACCAAACTTTAACCACCACTTGCTGATCACCACACACTAATACACCTATCCTAACCACACACCAGCAGAGCACTCTGCACCACGCCCGGGTGGAATCCAGTACTGGCTCAACCCCAACTTCCATGAAAACATCACAGCTCTCCCTCGTGGTCAGCACAGCACAGGATCTCTTTGAGCTCCCATCCCTTTGATAACATCACATAAAAAACAGTGGGAGCCCTTGGCAAAGCATCTTGGCGATTCTCCGATTACGTATATGTATATATAAATACATACAGCAGAGACAGGTACCAGTGGTGATACACTGATATTCTAATAACTACAGCTGTCTAGAGGATGCATTCTCACAGCTATTATTTTACCTTTCTCCCTCAAGCAAGTACTGCAACAAGGCAGGCTTGAGTCACAAAAGAGAGTAAGAAAGAAAAAAGGCAACTAGTAATGATTCTTATCAATTGGACACGGACAAATGGATGTATAAAGGGGCCCTTGCAGACCTCAAAGAACACAAAGCACACATGAATATGATTATTTCTGTTTTCTGGAAGGGAAACTGAGACACAAAGCTTACTTCCAGTTTCTGAGGAAAGCTGTGAGTTCTGCTAAATCTTTCTATTTGGTTGAGAATTCCCTGATATTTGCTGTTTTGCTTAAAGCTTCAGCTGCTGTGTTCATGCAATTGTGTGAAGTAACACTGACACACCTTCCTGCACCACAAAACCAATAAACTGCTAACAACAACCCTATAAAATAAAATACAGTAGGATAGGATAGAATAAAATAAAATAAAAACCTTATAAAGCCCCAGAAGCCCAGTGCCAGGCTGGGGCTCAGCACGATGAGGCATCCATGGGGCATCCATGCAGGCCACAGTCTGGATGCTCTGTGCAAGCTGCCTCTGGCAGCATCCATTCCCCACTTCTCCTCCCTACCTGGGGCAGCGTGGCTGGAAACGATGTCACGTCCCCTGCTGTCACTCATGTTCAGGGATCCCTTAAAGATATTGATATTCAATCCGGTAGCAGCCTAAGGCCAGAGCTGGTTTACTTGATAAGCTATTTTTCCTTCCTGCTTTAAGTGCCTTGCTTCACAGATTAGCTGTTTAATTGAGAGCCAGGTGTCTAAAAACCCCAGAGGCTTCCATCTTAGTGATGAACTGTCACAGAAGAAGAAGGCAAAGAAAAAGCACCCAGCCCCACCACTCTCTCTTTGCAGAAAGCTCTTTATTTGTGTGACGGCCACATACAGCTGGGTTGTTATTTTCCTCTTATCACACTTGTTCACAAAATGAGAAACACGGTTTTTCATCCTGTCCCAGTCCCTGCCCAACCTTCCCCAGCTTGGTGGCACTGTGCTGAGACAGATGACAAAAGTGCCGATCCTGCAGAGAACTGAGGGGACAAAGCTGCTCCTTGCCATGGGCCCAAGAACATTTCAGCCCTTTGGGGTGCCCCATCTGGCAGACTGCTCCCCAGTGTCCTCTGGGGCTGGGGCTGGAGGCCCCAATGCCTCCTGCTCGCTTGCTGGGGTAAGCCCCAGCTACAGAGGCTCACTTCTTTCTGCATCTGTTATGTGCTCACTCAGGTCAAAATGTGATTCTGCAGCAGCCAGGCTCTTGGCTTGGAGCAATTTCTGAATGGAGCAGCTCCTCCTTTACCCGTAGAAGTAGCCTTAAATAAACACAGTGCATTACAAGAGCCTGCCTGCCTTGCCCTGCCCCATCAATAGCACAGAAAGGCGGATGCATCTACAACTGAACTCTCCGCCACCTCTGGTGCCAATCACTCCTCCTCGGGAGCTGGCAGTAAT